AGATGGTTATGGATAACGCGCCTTTTTAATTTTATCGGACTTAATTAAGGCATTATTTAGAAATAATTTCATTTTAATATTAACTCTTAATGTACGCAATTAATTAATTTAGATATTATTAATTAACCGAATAGAATTATATTGACTAAAACACGCAAAATACATTAAATACGGTATAATACACCGCTGGTTAAATAATTTCGTATTTATTTAACGTAGTTAGAAATATATTTAAATTTTATATTATTACAATTTTTAAGAGAATTTCTAATCTGTAAATCTATTTTAAACTATTTGTAATTTCTTCGGTTTCCGATAAATCTTACGCGGCCAGATGTCCCGGAAGACATATAAATCGACACGTCGGATAAAACGTTAAAGGAAAAGTAAAAAATAAAATAAATGCCGAATTTCGTAGCTTTATTTATTTAATAAAATGTAACGCTTCGAACGAGCATAAATGCTAATTACGAATGTTTAATGTCAACTTTGTAATTAATGACTGTTTATAACGGTTGCCCGACATTTCTGTTTTAACAATATATTTATTAAGACTGACGAAATTTTAGTACGGGTCACCCGAAATTCGTTAAACAGATAAATCGAAAATTAGTTTTTGAAATTTAATATTATATCTTTACGCAAATTAATTAAATTTCCTAATGATTTTTTATTGTCGTCGCCCGACTACGCTGGCCAGTTGGCTACCAATACAGAATTTTAATTAAAAATTCTTACACCTATACAATGCTTTAAACTAAGGTATGGGCCCACCGAGTTTGAATATTATTTTGACTAAGTTAATTTCTTGCAGGAAATAGCCGAGTTAGAAAAGCCCATTGTGGCCCGTTACTTTACCGGGAATTCCCACAAAACATTTTCTATTAGGTATACGACGAGCCATTTGTAGGAACTAGTATTTTACTTAAAAAAGTACGGAAAATATTTTTCTTAACACCGATTATAGTTATTATAGTATCTTAATTTCTTACGATTACTACTGGCAGTGGCGGGAATTTCTAGCAGTCCTTCCGATAAGTATATTCTTAAGATGAATTGGCTGGGTAAAATGTATAAGACCATTTAAATGATGATAAATTTTTCAATTTTCTACTTAATTTTTGTTTCTTATTATAGCCTGACAGTATTTTTTCTACTAAAAANAATAGCCAAATCGAAACCCTTCTTGGCTTCCAGTATTGCTTGGAAACTTTTTAGAAAAGATAAAAAACAAGAAGTTTTCCAAGTTCAATTTGTGCCAGGCTTTTATATCAAGAGAAGGAAAAATACTAAAACTTTTACCACCAAAAACATGTCGAAAAATGTTACCATGAAAATTTTTTGCAAAGAAACTTAAAACAGCAAAAAGCCCTTGTCACATATACTATAGATAATAAAATACGTTGAGCACATATCAGTGGACTCTCGTTGAAAAAATTGTTCTACTTTTAAAACCATTCGAAGAAATTACGGTGGAAGCCAGCAACCGAGAAACCACCTCATCTTCAATAATCACACAATAGAGACTCTGAAATTATTGTTATTATCAAAAGCAAAAAGCAATAGTTCCTTTAGTGCAGCTGTCCCCAACCTTTTTATCGCCGCGGACCGGTCAACGTTTGATAATTTTACCGCGGCCCACTGAGGGGGGACGTTGATTGTTCATATTTTAGATTGATTTAATTTAATAATTTTAATTTAACTGTATTTAAACGTGCCTTCAAAATAAAATACAATTACACCAAAAAATGAATATAATGTGATTTAACATTTTAACTCACTAGAAAGCTAAATCAATGAGAACCCTGAGCTTGTTTCTTTGCAACGAGACAGTTCCATCTGGGGGTAATAGAAGACAATGACACTCGAAGTGTGTTTCTTATGTTCAGTTTATTCCGCTGTTCCGTCGTCTATTAAAAGTCGCACAAACCGGAGACAAATACACCATAGTAAATAAAATGGAAATAATTTAATGTTCTTTGGGCGGCCCGGTACCATTTGATCCACGGACCGGTACCGGTCCGCGGCCCGGGGGTTGGGGACCACTGCTTTAGAGGCATTAATACCACAATAGAAGGACTAGAAAATTCAATAAAAAAAGATTTTCAGCATATATAGAAAACGAGTCTTTACGTTTGTCATCTTTATTAGATCCAAGATTCAAAATAAAATTTCAAAAAAAAAAAATATGGCAGAGATGGACAATTGATAATTTAGATGATATTGATAATTCAAAAATCTCAAGAAAAATTAAATCCTGTAGCTTCTATTTCTGGAAATGATCAAGATGGAGGATAATCTCTGCGTTTTTCTAATTTATTTGATGTATTAGCTTCTGGTAAACGAAAGAATGAATAAGAGCATGGTTTTAAAAAGGAAGAAAAAACGAAATAAACGAATAAACGTTAGAATTCGGAAAAATATTTACATTTACCTCTTATACATAGACATAGTAACCCATTTTTGTGGTGAAGTGTGTTCGCACAATGCACGTACGTATATGCTTTATTGCAGTGTTTTTCAACCTGTGGGTCGCGACCCCCAGGGGGGTCGTGAAGTCTTACACGGGGGTCGCGAGTAAAAGAAAAAGACAAGTGTTTGTAGGTCCTACACTACATCAAAAAAAACTACAATTTCAGCGAGAAGGCTGTACTTGTTTATTATACAGTACAATTGATTTTTTGATCGACATTCAGGTCTCAACGATGAGTGTAGCCAGAGATGGGCCCGGGTGGGTACGGGCCACCGCAGAAAATGATAGCCGTAAAAAGTGTTGAGCTGACTTGCAAAAAGAAGTAATAAGTAGAAAAGTAGAAGTTGGAAATTCTCATCCTAAAAAATAAAAGGTCAACAGCATCCCGAGCTCAATGTTGTAATGAAAAGGAAGTTTCATACGTTATGTGTCTTAAGTTATTGTCGATTCTTCTCAAATTCTCGTTTTAATCAATAATAATTTTTCTCAACAGAAAGAAAATTAAATACATAGTTTTCAAAATCACTAATATAGTTTTAATATGGCCCTAGCGGGGTCGCCAGAATTTTTTAACTTGTAAAGGGGTCGCGTATTCAAAAAGGTTGAAAAACACTGCTTTATTGTAATTGATGTATGTGTTAATCGCGTGCGATACACACATACAGCATTTACAATTTCATCTCTCGTTTCCACTCTCAAAATTAAGTTTTTTGCCTTTTTATAATAATTAATAATATAAAAGTTATTTTTCAAAACAAATTCTCAAAAAAAATGGCGCCTTACGATTTTCATTTTAAGCTTAAATGTTAAACATAAATATTTATCACCAAGAAAGTTATGCAAAACTCGTTGATGAATTTTTTTCAAGTTTCTTGTGTAGTTTCTCCTGTTTTATTAATTTTATATGGAAATTACATTTGAAAACCGCATCAAGTCGCCGAAATTTGTCCACTCCGAATGAATCCATTCGTATTTATTGTGGATTCACAATCTACTTAATTATTTAAAGATAAATTTTCCCACAATTTCTATAGCTCTGTTTTAAGAACCACTTTATTATCCTTAATCAGAATCCTAATATAGGAATTGTGCTTTTATTGTAGTCCTTGCCAATGGCTACCTATTGAAATAGCAATTAAACATCTCGTTTAAGTAAAAAATCATGGAATATTCAGCTAAAATTTTAGTTTTATTTTATTATTTTAAACCATTGAGTTTACGAAGGACATTTCGTATGTAAAGGTGAATATTTAGTCGTTTCATGGCTTCAAATCACGTTTTTTTTTTACGTCTTGATATGCCTAATCTCAACATATATAATGGTTTAGTATTTCTACAATTAACAATACGCCTAATTTTAAAATAATTTTATCGTTTAATCAATTAAAAAATGCAGATAAAACCTAAGTATTGTGTATTGTGTAGTAAGAGCGCGTCGCGACGAGACGCGATAAAGCGCGACGCGAACAAAGCTTCGCATCTGTAGATTTTTTAACTAATTTTTTTCCAGATATAATCAAATAAGAAAAATAGAAAAAAATTCTCGATATATTATTAATATTTTATACTTTTAAGAAAATAATTTCTTAATTAAAACAGCAAAATTTGCATTTGGATAGTATCACGTGACTTAGTTTTTGATTTAACTTTGTCTCACGTGTAACGACGATAACAGCTTTAACACGTTCTTCCTCCTATTTATTTTGATTTGGTTGTAAAACACATCGAAATAAATCAGTAAATTGGTTGATCAAAATACTTACAAGATCCCAAATATTTAATAATTAGCACGAAACGCGCAAGAAATGACATCATAAAAAGATGGAGTATGTCAATGGAGTTCGTCACGTGGTTCGAAAACACTTTCTCGAAAAGAAAAATATGAGATAAATTTCTTGTTTAAAATAGTAATAATAATATATTTAAAACGTAATTAATTAATTTAGTATTTTAAAGGATTAAACGCACGTTTTTAAATAATTCAGTTTACGTAATCAATGCAATATTTAAGACAATTTATAAATAGTCAAATTTTAATCGTATTAATTAAATTATTGATATTATAATTATTGAGTTTTAATTAAACGTCGTAAATTTTACACAGTTTTCAATAAATAAATAAATTAAATAGAAATCTCCCGTTACCATAGCAACATGAAAAAAAGCTTTTATAAAAATTTTCATTTAAATATTTGTCGTTTATATTATATTTTATTATTTAATCGGTTAAAATATTTGATATTATAATATCATTATTAGAACGATTCATTTTAATTATAAAATTTTAAAATTAAAAAAAAATTAATTTAAGCTTTAATCTCTAGTTACTATAGCAACTATGGGACTTTTATAAAAATAATCGTTTAAAAACATCTGTCAGTCGTATTATATTTTATTAATTAATAGTTTAAAGCAAGTGTTATTATTATGTTTTAATTAAATAAATTAATATTAATATAAAAATACTCGAAATTAATATTTAATATTTGATGATGTTAAAGAAGAGAGGGGGGAAAACGGAATTACTTGTACAAAAATTAAATAAATTTATAAAAGTATGATTAGAAAAGTTTATTAAATTAAAAGAGTATTAAAGCGATAAATATTTATTTCGTTGAGGTAAAATTTCCGTTTGGTTCGTATCGGTTTCACGAATTGCAGACGTCTCCATGGCGAATAGGTCGATCGACCCTCGAATGACATTCGAGTCTTGTTATTTGAAAGGATAGGAGGCATAAACATTCCTTCCTGTTTGAAATATTACAGACTGTTGTTTACCATCCGAATCCGGAGCAAATAAATTCAGATTAAAGTTGAAAAAACGTAGCAGGTGAGAGAAATCTCAGTTTATCTTTTAAAAAAACGCAATAAATAATATAATGAAATAAATATATAAAATAAATATTTAATAATAATTTCTATATAAAAATTTTTTGTAATTTTTTAAAAATTATTTATAATGTAATAAACCCTATTCTAAAAATAAACAGAAAAAAAATTGAATAAAAAAAATTTTAAAGTCATAGACATCGGAAATTAATTTTTAAAATACGTCATCATCTTAATTAACGGTCATTCCGAGTCTTTTTTTTTACACGTAAATAATTGTTCTAGTTTGATGATACATCGCTACTTTCAAATAAATCAATTATTTTGATCGATTTTATATATATATATATAATGTTTTTTTTTATTTTATAAATTTAATTCACTTAACCATTTTCTCTAAACGGCAATTATATTCCGTCGTAAAGTTTTGGCGTTTTATATAATTAATAAATTAAAAACTATCAATTGTAGTCATTAAATAGAAATTATATCTACCCTATAAGGTTTCTTACTTGCTATTTTTATTGATAAGCTTCCATTCTGCGACTGTTCAAGCGTCTAATTAACACGATTGTTTTATATACATCTCCTGCGTCGCCGCTTCTCTATCAAATTTACAGCCGCTGACATATAATATACAGTCTCATACACGTATAAAGTAGTGGCTGCAACGTTTTTTCCACATAAAATATCAACATCTACCCGCAGAGGAGCTTGGAAATATATCAATTGATCAGGCATTATTTATTCTATACAATCGAACCTCAGCTAAGTCTCAAGAAAATTTAAAGCGATAATTCCTTAAAAATACTGTAATTAATCAAAGATAGGTATAAACTATTATAAATTTATATTTTAATCCTCATAAACTCCGTATTTAGTTGTAAATTTACACGCTTATTTAACATTAGTTTATTCAGCTGTTTGCGTAGAATCAGTTAAGTAATGAATAAGAATTTTAATTTAAATTTTAAATTTTTGTTAAAGAATAAATCTGGGTGGTTGAATGTCTTCGGGAATCATTTTTTAATTTTATAATTAAAGTTTATTCTTTTAAAAAAAAACTCGAAAAATTACTTTTAATGCTATTCTTTTTTCATCGACGAAATTGTTCTGAAGTGATTGTTCAACTAATTAACCATAGAAATTCGTGGTATTGTTGACGTTTTACTTGATTTTTTACTGTTTTTCTTTGGAAAAACAATTAAAACTTTCGTAAAGAATCTCGAACTGTTTGTTTTAACAGCTCCTAACTTATTTGATTTATTTATTATTATTATTTTTTCATTCTTGCGGTAGTTTTCTTGTTTTTATTTACGTAACTCGTAGTAAAAATAAATGTTTTAACATTACACAAAATTTCTCTTCATTTTTCTTCGTCCTGTGACACTAAGAGCGTCTTTTTTCCACACTCCGATTAGTGTAGAAAAATGCTCTCTTAGTGTCACAGGTCCCTAGTGGGATGCTGAGTGGTAAGGAAGGAAGCCCGACATATCTGGAACAAATCACCTGAAAAATTCCTAAGGTTGTTATTTGGATTTGATCTCGGATCCCTCAGAATGGTGCGCTGAGGTCTTGGCGGTTATCCAGCAGTTCCAGAAATGATTTTAAAAAATTCATAAAATTGGTAGTTATTAATTAAATTTATAATTATATTTTACACTTAAGTATTCTTACATTCATTTATATTATATTCCCGGCTGTTATATATATAACGGGAGGGGAAGTATGGCGATCGATCAAAAAATGACCCCCCAGATTTTTACATTTTTGGACTCTGGGAATCTTGAAACGTCGAGAAATGCAAAAAATTGGGAGGAAGTAATTTCTATATGTATGGATGCTTGTGTGTGTGTGTGGGGCACGATTTTGTTCACCATGTTTGAAGTTTAAATAACTCCTGTGCTTTTTGTCGAAAATTTCATAAATTTTGCAAGGAGGTTTGTGTGTTAGGGGGATTGATTTTATTCAATTTTGGTGGTTAAAGATCGAGAAGGTGAGGAGATAAAGGGGATCGTGTGTATTATATATAGGCATATAATAAGAAGTCTTCATTACACAATACTTGATAGGGCCCTAACTAGCACTGGATTTCGCGTACTGAACAAAGACGAGTCTCGACTAGCATTTGTGCGTGTCAGAAGGCTTTAAAGGCGCAAGGCCTAGGAAAAAGTATAGGTTCCCTGTGCGTAAAGCTTCTATTGCCTATTTAATATGAACTTTTTTCTGAAATATATAATCCAAATTGAATTATCAATTTTAAAACGTTGATATTAATGATATATTCAGAAAAAATGATTGAATAAATCATTGAATGGATTGAAAAGTCTATCTTTAAGATTGAAGAATAGAGTGTACGTGATCCTTTATGATAAAATTATACTTTTACTTTATGACTTTTTTGAATTTATTTTAGGATCCATTTTAAAATTTATTAAATTAAGCGCCATATGTGACAAGGCAACACTTGAGATATAACAAAACATAACATTTAATGGCGAGGATTTTTATTGCAAACAACAAGGGAGACATTTATAAGATTTTAAATTTTCATTCACACTAAAAAATATTTTTAATGTCAGAAATTTTATAAAATTTAACGACTTTTCTTCTAAGAAGGGAATTCTTGCTTTTTCTATGAAAGATTCAACTTATTCAGTAGATAAATCTACGTTATTAATGATTGGATTGGGTAGGATTGATAGGGTAGAGCAACGCAACACATGGGCGATCTGCCAAGAAATGGGTGCCTCTCGGAGAACTTCTATGGGAAACTGGCATTTATTTAGGTGTTAAGAATCCCTGATATATCCGAATTTCGAAAATTTAGGAAATTTTATCTATATATATACTTTTTCCAAAAGTAATTAGAAGTATAGACCATTCTGAAGGAAATTTATTATATATTTTTGCCTTAAGTGCTAGCCTATAATTACTTTCTCCTTCACCATTCTAGATTTTAACTCGAAGTTTTAATCTAATCTACAATTTAATCTAGCGAGTTTTTTGAATGGAGTAGGTACACTCACGAAGTAAACAAATTACCGAGATAAGCATTAGTGAATATATTCAATTTAACAATACTTAATGCTTCACTAATTGATTTTCAAGTAAGATTAAGTATATTTCAGCATACATTTTCAATCAAATTAAGGAATCTATTAATTATTATTGTTGAAATTTAACTACAATTTCTAAATTGACTTCTTCTCAATTTTAACTTTAAATCTCAATGTTTAGCATTGTGAATTATTCCGAATATTTAGCATAATAGCTTAGATGTTCAGCATCTTGAAAGTACTTCAAGATCAAAATTAGAGTTATATATAAACTAATAAGTTACAGCTTAGAGCCTCACGCATTTAAATTTATTATTTGATGGATTTGGAAGGACCTATCTTTAAGTTATACCATAAAGTCTTTTAAAGTTAATTTTTTGGGCCGAGATGAATTTAGAGTTAAGGTACTAATTTATAATATATAAGAAGTCCTTTATGCAAGAATTTACTTACTTTTTTTTGATGGATTGAGAAGTGGATCAGCAGTGGATGAGTGGATAAAACCAATGAATACTGGGTTCACGGGTTCGCGCCTGATCGCGTGGAGTTTTCCGAGTTTTTTTCACGTGTTTAACACCTAAATAGATGCCAGGTTCTCATTAAACCCACTCCCGGGAGGCACGTTCCACTTGATAGATAGATAGTTTACGTGTTGCATTGCCGTATTCTATATTCTACCACACCAATAACTCATAATTTTAACTTTGAAGAAGGACACAAGAATTTATTATCATGAAAGTAAAGTCATGGCTGTAGAGTATGTGATGAGAAAAAACATTTTTTTAAGTATAAATAACAACAATTGCTATACTTTGATTTAAAATCATCGCAGATACACGAAAAAAATTTAAAATGCGTAGAAAACACGTGCCCAATTGTAAGGTTGGGTTTCTTTTTATGCCCAAAGTCAAAATGTCACCCTTATCGATTCTTTATTACGTAAATGTGTTTTACATTACACTTGTATTCTAGAAATAGAAACAATGATAATTTATTCAAAAACGAAAAGTCTACAATTCGTTTAAAGAAAATCGCAGGAAAAAAGAAGAAGAAATTCTATTTATTGGCGTTTTTCCAGCCTCTAAAAAAATCGATCATTAAACGATTTCATTTCCAAGATATCATTTCTTACGTTTCTAGATTTAACTAACAGTCATATATTATAACAGTTAAAGAAAAAAAAACTCCATGTTTTTCTCTCTCTCTTCTTCTTCTTCTTCCTCCCTCCCTCCTCCCTTCACTTATTTTTAGCAACAATATTTTTATCCCATGGACGTTTGATTGGTCTGGATCCACGATGACGTTAGGAGTAAACAGGAAGAAAATGGATCATACACATACCGACGAATCGCCAAAAGATTTGGTTTTTGAAAAGGTAAATAATTATAAACTTAAAATTATCTATTCACGCTTTGTAAGTAGTTGGCGTGATGCAACACCATTACCTTAACTACTTTACAAGTAAGTACAGAACATACATACGCCCAGATGGCATTTGCCACAGGTGGAAAGATTGACTTTTTCTAAGGGAATTTGTTGATTTTTGTGTTTATTAATCATTTTTCCCCCTCTAAACAAAATGCCAGATGGAAGCATTAATTCAAAAAATGCAACATCCCGAAACTGGTGTACCCGTTCGTAGTAAGAGGCAGTTTCTGACATCCATACCGTGTGCCTTTCAAGGTGAGTTATTCTATTTAAATTATATATATATATATATTATACAGTACTTATTTAATTTTTACAATTATATTTGTCGGTAGTTTTATTTGTTAATTGTATAAATAATTACTAATTAGTTACGGTTTTGTAATGGTTAATTAATTGCAATTTGCTCGAAGACCGCTCATTGTAATTTCTTTTGTTGTTTAATGTTTTTGGCAGGATTTCATACAAAAATGGTGTTTTTTTTTCTTGTCTGAGATAATTTTCTTGAGAAAAATCTCTTAAAAAGTTTTTAAAGTTACTTTTTTTTTCAAAATAATTTTACAGATTTAAGATTTAATATAATGATAACATCAAAAACTCGCCCTATTTTTTATTATTTTCTGTGCTTATTTCTGTTATTTTTCTGTAAATATAGTGTAAATGTAAATATACTATACATAAATCAATTAAAATATGCGTAATAACATATATTTTATATGTTAGAAGCATACTTTACGGATAAAATGACAAATTAATGAACTCTTTTCGTCCTGTGGGCATTAAGACGGCCTTTTTTCGTATCTGTCGTGGGTCGCCCAGGCCCACATGTGTCGTGATGAGGGATGGAGCCCAACATATTCGGAAGGAGCCACCCACAAAAAATTCCTTGAGTATTATGACCGATCTCGGGTTCCCAGAGCAGAGGGCTGATGCCTTAACCGCTTTCGATCACCCAAACTTCTGGATCAAAATATATTAAAATATGTTTGACAGGTTGTTTAGAAAATTAATAAGTAATGAAACGCTTTAAATAATTAATGATAATATCTTTAATTATGTAAGAGAATTTTACATTTAATTTTCCAATACTCTAATAAATGTTGTCATATGCAAATTTAGTATCGCCGCTCTGTAAGGATTTTCCATATTAATATTGTTACGATAAAGTTTCTTTATTAATAACCAAAGAAAAGGAAAAATAAAATAAGAAAATCTCATCGTCATAAACTCTAATTTTTAATGTTTAACAATTAAATTAGGCAGAATAAACTAGATCATAGATACGAGCCCCGAATACTTTGCCAATTTCTTGTTTACAATTTAGTTTATACTGCTTTTCTCAAGTTGTCTGTTGTCTGTCTGTCTATTTATCACGAGAGTGTTGTTTTAAAATTGTTTTTCTCTGTACAATTTATTTCGTTTGTAGTTACTGTAGCCTATATACAATGCGTTATCATCATTTCTGGCGTCGAATTGATTTCTTGATTTAAAGAATTATCCTTTCTTCAACTAATACTAAATAGTTTAATCTCTCGGGAATAGGTATTTAACATGAAACAAGCGTCTAAAGCATAATTTAAATGCTGCGGCTCGTTAATTTCAAGTATTGTGCCCATTGCGTATCAAGGATAAAATCACTCATTAATAACGTTACACGAGAGATTTATATCTTGCCATTTAAAATGCATAAATTTGTAAATTATATTTTAAAATCTTGCTAGAGTTTATTTTGAACAATTAAAAGTCGCATTCTCTTTAAGTAAATCGTGTGTCAATCATTAAAATAGATGAAACAGAGTAGAAAATGGTGTCGTGTAGACATCGAAGAGGTCGCAGTTATTTAAAAAAACACGGAAAAGATACCGATATCCGAAAGAAAAAAACTCACTCACCGTTCTAGAACTGTACTGATTAACTTCCATTGAAATATCTAAAAATCGATCTATGATTCTCTGCTACTCCATAAAGTTGACAAATAGAAAAACGAGGCTAAATCCTTTCAAGTGTTCTCTTCTCTTCCTTCTTTCCTTCTAAGATATCTTTGGCATTTCTGCTTACTCGAAAAACTTTGATCTGTATTTAAGACTTCGATATCGACCCATATATAAAGTTTTCTTCTTGTGACGAGTTAATTTCCAATCTTATCAATTGCAATTCATTCTACACACGAGTGGCAAATTGCCATTCAATGGGACATTAAAAATAGATTATTTCTGATACAAAACAATGTATACGAGATAAGACAAAAACTATATTTTTTTAAAAAAATTCCTTAAAAATAGAATTATTGTATCGAGTTTTGAATTCATTCGAGACTCATTAAATAAAGTAGAGGGTGGAGCACTCTCAAGAAAGATTACAAATGACTCTACTGTGATTTATATATCAGAAATTCATTAATATAAATTTATATAATGCACATAAATGCATCTTTATTGACATGACAGAAGCTTATATACATATAAAAAAATAATATCTTGAGAATATGCTTAAGAACCATTGAAAGAAACACAGAATATTGTGTATTGAGAATTTATTTTCAGTATCCAATCTTGATTTATGTAGTTAAAACAAGAATATAAATATTAATTACGTAGCATATTAATATATTAATGATAAAAAGCCATATGTTGATGGTTGATTAAGGGAGCGTGGCGTATAATAACGTTTCGTGATTGCTGTCGAGTGGTAAATTTATAACCATCAACAAGTTACGACGTTCACGTAAGTTGTGTGCTGTATTTTTAAAACGATTTCCTTCGCTAAATCTATTTAGAACGGGTTATTTTTTTTTATAACTCAATTTAATGTAGAAACTTAAATGCATTCGGCATTTTATATTCGTGATGGAATTACATGTGTCGGCGCCGTTACGGCTAAAAGTAACATCTAAAATAGGTCCTGATTGACGACTTTCGCTTTAAATCTACGTGTTTATGCTCTTTTGGTGTCAAAAACATTCGCTTTTCATCGATCCGAAAGGATTCCGTTGCCATGACGACTTTCCAACGTTGACAAGATGAACTATAAACTTAAAGTTCCCTTCGGAAATTGTCTTGTTTCTACTTAATAGAACCCGTGGGATAGTTTTTCCATTTATTATCAGTATAATAACATTTTTATACCTGAACAATAAGAAGAAGAAGAAGAATTCGAATGAATTTATTTCAATAGCTCGCAACTATCAGATAAGGATTGCTTGTTGTAAAGAACTCATTTCGACGATTTAAAAAGGAATTTTTCAAATCATAAAATAGAATTCAAATGTAGAAAACATGGATTTAGAATACAAAAGCCTTCAAGAAAATTTATTTATTTATTTATTTATTTATTTTTTACTCTAATGTTAAAAATATCNCCTAGCGGGGTCGCCAGAATTTTTTAACTTGTAAAGGGGTCGCGTATTCAAAAAGGTTGAAAAACACTGCTTTATTGTAATTGATGTATGTGTTAATCGCGTGCGATACACACATACAGCATTTACAATTTCATCTCTCGTTTCCACTCTCAAAATTAAGTTTTTTGCCTTTTTATAATAATTAATAATATAAAAGTTATTTTTCAAAACAAATTCTCAAAAAAAATGGCGCCTTACGATTTTCATTTTGAGCTTAAATGTTAAACATAAATATTTATCACCAAGAAAGTTATGCAAAACTCGTTGATGAATTTTTTTCAAGTTTCTTGTGTAGTTTCTCCTGTTTTATTAATTTTATATGGAAATTACATTTGAAAACCGCATCAAGTCGCCGAAATTTGTCCACTCCGAATGAATCCATTCGTATTTATTGTGGATTCACAATCTACTTAATTATTTAAAGATAAATTTTCCCACAATTTCTATAGCTCTGTTTTAAGAACCACTTTATTATCCTTAATCAGAATCCTAATATAGGAATTGTGCTTTTATTGTAGTCCTTGCCAATGGCTACCTATTGAAATAGCAATTAAACATCTCGTTTAAGTAAAAAATCATGGAATATTCAGCTAAAATTTTAGTTTTATTTTATTATTTTAAACCATTGAGTTTACGAAGGACATTTCGTATGTAAAGGTGAATATTTAGTCGTTTCATGGCTTCAAATCACGTTTTTTTTTTACGTCTTGATATGCCTAATCTCAACATATATAATGGTTTAGTATTTCTACAATTAACAATACGCCTAATTTTAAAATAATTTTATCGTTTAATCAATTAAAAAATGCAGATAAAACCTAAGTATTGTGTATTGTGTAGTAAGAGCGCGTCGCGACGAGACGCGATAAAGCGCGACGCGAACAAAGCTTCGCATCTGTAGATTTTTTAACTAATTTTTTTCCAGATATAATCAAATAAGAAAAATAGAAAAAAATTCTCGATATATTATTAATATTTTATACTTTTAAGAAAATAATTTCTTAATTAAAACAGCAAAATTTGCATTTGGATAGTATCACGTGACTTAGTTTTTGATTTAACTTTGTCTCACGTGTAACGACGATAACAGCTTTAACACGTTCTTCCTCCTATTTATTTTGATTTGGTTGTAAAACACATCGAAATAAATCAGTAAATTGGTTGATCAAAATACTTACAAGATCCCAAATATTTAATAATTAGCACGAAACGCGCAAGAAATGACATCATAAAAAGATGGAGTATGTCAATGGAGTTCGTCACGTGGTTCGAAAACACTTTCTCGAAAAGAAAAATATGAGATAAATTTCTTGTTTAAAATAGTAATAATAATATATTTAAAACGTAATTAATTAATTTAGTATTTTAAAGGATTAAACGCACGTTTTTAAATAATTCAGTTTACGTAATCAATGCAATATTTAAGACAATTTATAAATAGTCAAATTTTAATCGTATTAATTAAATTATTGATATTATAATTATTGAGTTTTAATTAAACGTCGTAAATTTTACACAGTTTTCAATAAATAAATAAATTAAATAGAAATCTCCCGTTACCATAGCAACATGAAAAAAAGCTTTTATAAAAATTTTCATTTAAATATTTGTCGTTTATATTATATTTTATTATTTAATCGGTTAAAATATTTGATATTATAATATCATTATTAGAACGATTCATTTTAATTATAAAATTTTAAAATTAAAAAAAAAAATTAATTTAAGCTTTAATCTCTAGTTACTATAGCAACTATGGGACTTTTATAAAAATAATCGTTTAAAAACATCTGTCAGTCGTATTATATTTTATTAATTAATAGTTTAAAGCAAGTGTTATTATTATGTTTTAATTAAATAAATTAATATTAATATAAAAATACTCGAAATTAATATTTAATATTTGATGATGTTAAAGAAGAGAGGGGGGAAAACGGAATTACTTGTACAAAAATTAAATAAATTTATAAAAGTATGATTAGAAAAGTTTATTAAATTAAAAGAGTATTAAAGCGATAAATATTTATTTCGTTGAGGTAAAATTTCCGTTTGGTTCGTATCGGTTTCACGAATTGCAGACGTCTCCATGGCGAATAGGTCGATCGACCCTCGAATGACATTCGAGTCTTGTTATTTGAAAGGATAGGAGGCATAAACATTCCTTCCTGTTTGAAATATTACAGACTGTTGTTTACCATCCGAATCCGGAGCAAATAAATTCAGATTAAAGTTGAAAAAACGTAGCAGGTGAGAGAAATCTCAGTTTATCTTTTAAAAAAACGCAATAAATAATATAATGAAATAAATATATAAAATAAATATTTAATAATAATTTCTATATAAAAATTTTTTGTAATTTTTTAAAAATTATTTATAATGTAATAAACCCTATTCTAAAAATAAACAGAAAAAAAATTGAATAAAAAAAATTTGAAAGTCATAGACATCGGAAATTAATTTTTAAAATACGTCATCATCTTAATTAACGGTCATTCCGAGTCTTTTTTTTTTACACGTAAATAATTGTTCTAGTTTGATGATACATCGCTACTTTCAAATAAATCAATTATTTTGATCGATTATATATATATATATATAATGTTTTTTTTTATTTTATAAATTTAATTCACTTAACCATTTTATCTAAACGGCAATTATATTCCGTCGTAAAGTTTTGGCGTTTTATATAATTAATAAATTAAAAACTATCAATTGTAGTCATTAAATAGAAATTATATCTACCCTATAAGGTTTCTTACTTGCTATTTTTATTGATAAGCTTCCATTCTGCGACTGTTCAAGCGTCTAATTAACACGATTGTTTTATATACATCTCCTGCGTCGCCGCTTCTCTATCAAATTTACAGCCGCTGACATATAATATACAGTCTCATACACGTATAAAGTAGTGGCTGCAACGTTTTTTCCACATAAAATATCAACATCTACCCGCAGAGGAGCTTGGAAATATATCAATTGATCAGGCATTATTTATTCTATACAATCGAACCTCAGCTAAGTCTCAAGAAAATTTAAAGCGATAATTCCTTAAAAATACTGTAATTAATCAAAGATAGGTATAAACTATTATAAATTTATATTTTAATCCTCATAAACTCCGTATTTAGTTGTAAATTTACACGCTTATTTAACATTAGTTTATTCAGCTGTTTGCGTAGAATCAGTTAAGTAGTGAATAAGAATTTTAATTTAAATTTTAAATTTTTGTTAAAGAATAAATCTGGGTGGTTGAATGTCTTCGGGAATCATTTTTTAATTTTATAATTAAAGTTTATTCTTTTAAAAAAAAACTCGAAAAATTACTTTTAATGCTATTCTTTTTTCATCGACGAAATTGTTCTGAAGTGATTGTTCAACTAATTAACCATAGAAATTCGTGGTATTGTTGACGTTTTACTTGATTTTTTACTGTTTTTCTTTGGAAAAACAATTAAAACTTTCGTAAAGAATCTCGAACTGTTTGTTTTAACAGCTCCTAACTTATTTGATTTATTTATTATTATTATTTTTTCATTCTTGCGGTAGTTTTCTTGTTTTTATTTACGTAACTCGTAGTAAAAATAAATGTTTTAACATTACACAAAATTTCTCTTCATTTTTCTTCGTCCTGTGACACTAAGAGCGTCTTTTTTCCACACTCCGATTAGTGTAGAAAAATGCTCTCTTAGTGTCACAGGTCCCTAGTGGGATGCTGAGTGGTAAGGAAGGAAGCCCGACATATCTGGAACAAATCACCTGAAAAATTCCTAAGGTTGTTATTTGGATTTGATCTCGGATCCCTCAGAATGGTGCGCTGAGGTCTTGGCGGTTATCCAGCAGTTCCAGAAATGATTTTAAAAAATTCATAAAATTGGTAGTTATTAATTAAATTTATAATTATATTTTACACTTAAGTATTCTTACATTCATTTATATTATATTCCCGGCTGTTATATATATAACGGGAGGGGAAGTATGGCGATCGATCAAAAAATGACCCCCCAGATTTTTACATTTTTGGACTCTGGGAATCTTGAAACGTCGAGAAATGCAAAAAATTGGGAGGAAGTAATTTCTATATGTATGGATGCTTGTGTGTGTGTGTGGGGCACGATTTTGTTCACCATGTTTGAAGTTTAAATAACTCCTGTGCTTTTTGTCGAAAATTTCATAAATTTTGCAAGGAGGTTTGTGTGTTAGGGGGATTGATTTTATTCAATTTTGGTGGTTAAAGATCGAGAAGGTGAGGAGATAAAGGGGATCGTGTGTATTATATATAGGCATATAATAAGAAGTCTTCATTACACAATACTTGATAGGGCCCTAACTAGCACTGGATTTCGCGTACTGAACAAAGACGAGTCTCGACTAGCATTTGTGCGTGTCAGAAGGCTTTAAAGGCGCAAGGCCTAGGAAAAAGTATAGGTTCCCTGTGCGTAAAGCTTCTATTGCCTATTTAATATGAACTTTTTTCTGAAATATATAATCCAAATTGAATTATCAATTTTAAAACGTTGATATTAATGATATATTCAGAAAAAATGATTGAATAAATCATTGAATGGATTGAAAAGTCTATCTTTAAGATTGAAGAATAGAGTGTACGTGATCCTTTATGATAAAATTATACTTTTACTTTATGACTTTTTTGAATTTATTTTAGGATCCATTTTAAAATTTATTAAATTAAGCGCCATATGTGACAAGGCAACACTTGAGATATAACAAAACATAACATTTAATGGCGAGGATTTTTATTGCAAACAACAAGGGAGACATTTATAAGATTTTAAATTTTCATTCACACTAAAAAATATTTTTAATGTCAGAAATTTTATAAAATTTAACGACTTTTCTTCTAAGAAGGGAATTCTTGCTTTTTCTATGAAAGATTCAACTTATTCAGTAGATAAATCTACGTTATTAATGATTGGATTGGGTAGGATTGATAGGGTAGAGCAACGCAACACATGGGCGATCTGCCAAGAAATGGGTGCCTCTCGGAGAACTTCTATGGGAAACTGGCATTTATTTAGGTGTTAAGAATCCCTGATATATCCGAATTTCGAAAATTTAGGAAATTTTATCTATATATATACTTTTTCCAAAAGTAATTAGAAGTATAGACCATTCTGAAGGAAATTTATTATATATTTTTGCCTTAAGTGCTAGCCTATAATTACTTTCTCCTTCACCATTCTAGATTTTAACTCGAAGTTTTAATCTAATCTACAATTTAATCTAGCGAGTTTTTTGAATGGAGTAGGTACACTCACGAAGTAAACAAATTACCGAGATAAGCATTAGTGAATATATTCAATTTAACAATACTTAATGCTTCACTAATTGATTTTCAAGTAAGATTAAGTATATTTCAGCATACATTTTCAATCAAATTAAGGAATCTATTAATTATTATTGTTGAAATTTAACTACAATTTCTAAATTGACTTCTTCTCAATTTTAACTTTAAATCTCAATGTTTAGCATTGTGAATTATTCCGAATATTTAGCATAATAGCTTAGATGTTCAGCATCTTGAAAGTACTTCAAGATCAAAATTAGAGTTATATATAAACTAATAAGTTACAGCTTAGAGCCTCACGCATTTAAATTTATTATTTGATGGATTTGGAAGGACCTATCTTTAAGTTATACCATAAAGTCTTTTAAAGTTAATTTTTTGGGCCGAGATGAATTTAGAGTTAAGGTACTAATTTATAATATATAAGAAGTCCTTTATGCAAGAATTTACTTACTTTTTTTTGATGGATTGAGAAGTGGATCAGCAGTGGATGAGTGGATAAAACCAATGAATACTGGGTTCACGGGTTCGCGCCTGATCGCGTGGAGTTTTCCGAGTTTTTTTCACGTGTTTAACACCTAAATAGATGCCAGGTTCTCATTAAACCCACTCCCGGGAGGCACGTTCCACTTGATAGATAGATAGTTTACGTGTTGCATTGCCGTATTCTATATTCTACCACACCAATAACTCATAATTTTAACTTTGAAGAAGGACACAAGAATTTATTATCATGAAAGTAAAGTCATGGCTGTAGAGTATGTGATGAGAAAAAACATTTTTTTAAGTATAAATAACAACAATTGCTATACTTTGATTTAAAATCATCGCAGATACACGAAAAAAATTTAAAATGCGTAGAAAACACGTGCCCAATTGTAAGGTTGGGTTTCTTTTTATGCCCAAAGTCAAAATGTCACCCTTATCGATTCTTTATTACGTAAATGTGTTTTACATTACACTTGTATTCTAGAAATAGAAACAATGATAATTTATTCAAAAACGAAAAGTCTACAATTCGTTTAAAGAAAATCGCAGGAAAAAAGAAGAAGAAATTCTATTTATTGGCGTTTTTCCAGCCTCTAAAAAAATCGATCATTAAACGATTTCATTTCCAAGATATCATTTCTTACGTTTCTAAATTTAACTAACAGTCATATATTATAACAGTTAAAGAAAAAAAAACTCCATGTTTTTCTCTCTCTCTTCTTCTTCTTCTTCCTCCCTCCCTCCTCCCTTCACTTATTTTTAGCAACAATATTTTTATCCCATGGACGTTTGATTGGTCTGGATCCACGATGACGTTAGGAGTAAACAGGAAGAAAATGGATCATACACATACCGACGAATCGCCAAAAGATTTGGTTTTTGAAAAGGTAAATAATTATAAACTTAAAATTATCTATTCACGCTTTGTAAGTAGTTGGCGTGATGCAACACCATTACCTTAACTACTTTACAAGTAAGTACAGAACATACATACGCCCAGATGGCATTTGCCACAGGTGGAAAGATTGACTTTTTCTAAGGGAATTTGTTGATTTTTGTGTTTATTAATCATTTTTCCCCCTCTAAACAAAATGCCAGATGGAAGCATTAATTCAAAAAATGCAACATCCCGAAACTGGTGTACCCGTTCGTAGTAAGAGGCAGTTTCTGACATCCATACCGTGTGCCTTTCAAGGTGAGTTATTCTATTTAAATTATATATATATATATATTATACAGTACTTATTTAATTTTTACAATTATATTTGTCGGTAGTTTTATTTGTTAATTGTATAAATAATTACTAATTAGTTACGGTTTTGTAATGGTTAATTAATTGCAATTTGCTCGAAGACCGCTCATTGTAATTTCTTTTGTTGTTTAATGTTTTTGGCAGGATTTCATACAAAAATGGTGTTTTTTTTCTTGTCTGAGATAATTTTCTTGAGAAAAATCTCTTAAAAAGTTTTTAAAGTTACTTTTTTTTTCAAAATAATTTTACAGATTTAAGATTTAATATAATGATAACATCAAAAACTCGCCCTATCTTTTATTATTCTCTGTGCTTATTTCTGTTATTTTTCTGTAAATATAGTGTAAATGTAAATATACTATACATAAATCAATTAAAATATGCGTAATAACATATATTTTATATGTTAGAAGCATACTTTACGGATAAAATGACAAATTAATGAACTCTTTTCGTCCTGTGGGCATTAAGACGGCCTTTTTTCGTATCTGTCGTGGGTCGCCCAGGCCCACATGTGTCGTGATGAGGGATGGAGTCCAACATATTCGGAAGGAGCCACCCACAAAAAATTCCTTGAGTATTATGACCGATCTCGGGTTCCCAGAGCAGAGGGCTGATGCCTTAACCGCTTTCGATCACCCAAACTTCTGGATCAAAATATATTAAAATATGTTTGACAGGTTGTTTAGAAAATTAATAAGTAATGAAACGCTTTAAATAATTAATGATAATATCTTTAATTATGTAAGAGAATTTTACATTTAATTTTCCAATACTCTAATAAATGTTGTCATATGCAAATTTAGTATCGCCGCTCTGTAAGGATTTTCCATATTAATATTGTTACGATAAAGTTTCTTTATTAATAACCAAAGAAAAGGAAAAATAAAATAAGAAAATCTCATCGTCATAAACTCTAATTTTTAATGTTTAACAATTAAATTAGGCAGAATAAACTAGATCGTAGATACGAGCCCCGAATACTTTGCCAATTTCTTGTTTACAATTTAGTTTATACTGCTTTTCTCAAGTTGTCTGTTGTCTGTCTGTCTATTTATCACGAGAGTGTTGTTTTAAAATTGTTTTTCTCTGTACAATTTATTTCGTTTGTAGTTACTGTAGCCTATATACAATGCGTTATCATCATTTCTGGCGTCGAATTGATTTCTTGATTTAAAGAATTATCCTTTCTTCAACTAATACTAAATAGTTTAATCTCTCGGGAATAGGTATTTAACATGAAACAAGCGTCTAAAGCATAATTTAAATGCTGCGGCTCGTTAATTTCAAGTATTGTGCCCATTGCGTATCAAGGATAAAATCACTCATTAATAACGTTACACGAGAGATTTATATCTTGCCATTTAAAATGCATAAATTTGTAAATTATATTTTAAAATCTTGCTAGAGTTTATTTTGAACAATTAAAAGTCGCATTCTCTTTAAGTAAATCGTGTGTCAATCATTAAAATAGATGAAACAGAGTAGAAAATGGTGTCGTGTAGACATCGAAGAGGTCGCAGTTATTTAAAAAAACACGGAAAAGATACCGATATCCGAAAGAAAAAAACTCACTCACCGTTCTAGAACTGTACTGATTAACTTCCATTGAAATATCTAAAAATCGATCTATGATTCTCTGCTACTCCATAAAGTTGACAAATAGAAAAACGAGGCTAAATCCTTTCAAGTGTTCTCTTCTCTTCCTTCTTTCCTTCTAAGATATCTTTGGCATTTCTGCTTACTCGAAAAACTTTGATCTGTATTTAAGACTTCGATATCGACCCATATATAAAGTTTTCTTCTTGTGACGAGTTAATTTCCAATCTTATCAATTGCAATTCATTCTACACACGAGTGGCAAATTGCCATTCAATGGGACATTAAAAATAGATTATTTCTGATACAAAACAATGTATACGAGATAAGACAAAAACTATATTTTTTTAAAAAAATTCCTTAAAAATAGAATTATTGTATCGAGTTTTGAATTCATTCGAGACTCATTAAATAAAGTAGAGGGTGGAGCACTCTCAAGAAAGATTACAAATGACTCTACTGTGATTTATATATCAGAAATTCATTAATATAAATTTATATAATGCACATAAATGCATCTTTATTGACATGACAGAAGCTTATATACATATAAAAAAATAATATCTTGAGAATATGCTTAAGAACCATTGAAAGAAACACAGAATATTGTGTATTGAGAATTTATTTTCAGTATCCAATCTTGATTTATGTAGTTAAAACAAGAATATAAATATTAATTACGTAGCATATTAATATATTAATGATAAAAAGCCATATGTTGATGGTTGATTAAGGGAGCGTGGCGTATAATAACGTTTCGTGATTGCTGTCGAGTGGTAAATTTATAACCATCAACAAGTTACGACGTTCACGTAAGTTGTGTGCTGTATTTTTAAAACGATTTCCTTCGCTAAATCTATTTAGAACGGGTTATTTTTTTTTTATAACTCAATTTAATGTAGAAACTTAAATGCATTCGGCATTTTATATTCGTGATGGAATTACATGTGTCGGCGCCGTTACGGCTAAAAGTAACATCTAAAATAGGTCCTGATTGACGACTTTCGCTTTAAATCTACGTGTTTATGCTCTTTTGGTGTCAAAAACATTCGCTTTTCATCGATCCGAAAGGATTCCGTTGCCATGACGACTTTCCAACGTTGACAAGATGAACTATAAACTTAAAGTTCCCTTCGGAAATTGTCTTGTTTCTACTTAATAGAACCCGTGGGATAGTTTTTCCATTTATTATCAGTATAATAACATTTTTATACCTGAACAATAAGAAGAAGAAGAAGAATTCGAATGAATTTATTTCAATAGCTCGCAACTATCAGATAAGGATTGCTTGTTGTAAAGAACTCATTTCGACGATTTAAAAAGGAATTTTTCAAATCATAAAATAGAATTCAAATGTAGAAAACATGGATTTAGAATACAAAAGCCTTCAAGAAAATTTATTTATTTATTTATTTATTTATTTTTTACTCTAATGTTAAAAATATCCTTCTACACGTGCTTCGAATTCTTATGACTTTTTTAAAAGATGAATTTTTTCAGGAGTGTTTTTTAGAATTCTTTTCAAAATTAATAGCATTTTTATTGTGTTAATTCTTTCTATAATTATTATTTATAACTTATTTTATTCGTACTGACAGCCGTAAGATTGAAACTATGAAATAATTACACTTTCTCTGCCTACTCCATCTGTCCAAATGCACCGTCGACTGACAAAGACGATCATCAAAATCGTTAAAAAATTTTATTTAATTAATTAGGAAGTTAAAAAAAATACTCAGATGATGCTATTAAGAACTCGATATAACAAAATTTATTTTGTTTAATGAAGTCTCTTGAGGGGGAACGGAAAGAAAATGGAGATATTCCACGAGGAATTTGATGAGGCATCTAATAAAAATCTGAGATCAATATCTAATGGATTTTGTTTTAAAACGATTTTAAACTTTTTAAAAAAGAAAATATCGAATTTCTAAAGATATTTTGATTGAAAAATTGATTTGGGTAGTTAAACGATACGAAAATGATATCTTTTCTTCTCTTCTTCCTCCCTCTTTACGTCTTGCTAAGAGAATTTTTTTCAGATTTAGTCAGAGAGCCAAATGATGAGGAAGGGATCTGCATCATATTACCCATGAAAAATTGCTGAAGATTTAATTCGAATTCGATCTGGATCCCTTAGAGTAGCAGGTACACATCTGAATTATCTTGCTCATTCAACTATCCATTTTTGGTATATCAATAGTAATGCTACGATATATCGAAATTGATATACGCTTAAGTATTCAAGATTTTAGAATATCGAAAGAATCTAGATATCAACCCCGATATCGATATCAAAATTTTGGTTTTGCACAGCACAACTAATCAATAGTATTGGTCACTAATAATTGTTAGGTCAAGGGGTTCTTAAGCAAGTTCTAAGCTTGTAAGACAGAAAATATTTTTAATGGAAAATGAATGGTAAAGATACGTAATCAGAAAAGTACCATATCTACAACTATTTTTTGTTATTATCATTAAAACACTTGGTGGATTGCAACTAGCGAAGGTGACAATATAAATTCATTAGAAACCTTCTATTCATTTTGCTGTTTATATTATTATCTAATATTATTATTTTTTGGTACAGACACTATACAAATCATTTGTTTTATTTACAAAGTTAATAATACCTGAAGTACTATTGAAGTCTTGTCCTAAACAATGAGCACTCCAAGGAAAATCCATGTGAATGCTAAAAAAAGTATAATGTTGCTCAAGAATTCCATAATTAAATTGTGTTCTAAGTTGTTCAACGACCTCTCTTCGAGACAATGTTTCCAGAAATGTGTTTCAACCTGTAAATCGCAGTCTCTAGAGAGGACGTAAATTATATCGCTTGCTAATACCAAGGTATTTAATATGCTATGAGGGTTCATTAACTTTTAAAAAGGTAGAAAAACTCATATTCCTGCGAGAGTACGCCGCTTATTATCAAATTATAATATTCTTGGAAAAATAGATAAAATATTTATTTCGTGACATCTCCTTATCAACCTGAACACTCGCGTGCGATCAATTAAAATTACGTGAGCTTAGATTAAAATTCCAAATATTCCCAATTAATTATAATGAATTCTATACCCCCGCCAAATGAATTAAAAATATGCGAAATATGAAATATGAGTTAAACCCTGGCCAACAGGGCTTCTGTAATCTGAGTCCGTCCATCGGTTACTAGGTGAATTAAACCACTGAATACCGGTAGTCCCGGGTTCGCGCCCGATCACCGTGTGGTCACAAACTTTTTCGGGGTTTTTTCACCTTTCTAACACAGAAGTAGAGTCCATTTTCGTATAGACTGTCCATCCGGAAGGTACCACCCTTGGCAGACTGCCCTAGTGTTGCATTGCCTTATTCCATCAATTTAATTCGATTTCAGTTAAATGTTATTTCGGTTAATGGAAATATTTTGTAAAATATTTCACTTTGTGTGAAGTTTCAGGAAGTTTTATTTGAAAACTTAACATATTTGGATAATGGCCTGTCACGTTGGTTTCCGGATGTTGGACAAGAATGAGTGATGTTTCCCTAGTTGATTAATATACCTGTAAATATGAAAGCGGAGAGATAAAGCAGGAAGGGAATTCATGGTTTATTTTTATGAATTTAACGGTAATATAAAACTATTTTTAGATCCGGAATTATGCTAATTACGTCAGATGTTACGACGTATGTAGTAATAAGATTTTTATGCAATGAAAATACAGTTGATTTCAAATATTTTTGAGGACTTTTAAAGGATTAAAGTTATGATTCTGGTGGTTACGAATGATTGTTTCATATGAAAACTGTATAAACTGTAGCAATTTTAGATAAATTAATAATGTAATGAAGCTTTACATGATATACTGTAAGTGCATGATGACAGGATGGCCGAGCAGTTAAGGTGGCAGCTTACCTCTCTGGGGACCTGGGATAGAATCCGGATGGGTCGAGAAACCCCAGGAATTTTTTGGGGGTGGTCCGGATATGTCGTGATCCGTCTCCAACTGTCGGCCAGCCTTCAATGGGGTGGCCGAATCCATATTGGACTTCTTAAAAAAAAGGCTCTCTTAGTGACATAGGGCGGAGATTTACAGTATTTTTTGGTAAATTAAGCTGATATACCGTAGATTTTCTATTGCTTTCTCTACTGTTATATATACATAGCAAGGGGAAGTATTTGGATCGTGTCAAATTTGACCCTCCGTTTTTCTTTTGCAAATCTTTGCGTTTTGGGCGTGCGTATGTGCATGTTTTGGCGTCTATTTCGTTTAATATCTCAGGATGGGGTAAATATTAAGGAATCAAATTTGGCATGGTAGCTTGTGTATAATGGGCATTGATACTATTAGGTTTTGATGGTTATAGGTCGAAGGGGTCCACCAGTGGCCGAGCGGTTCCGTTCCCCGAACACTGGGAGTTCGGTCGCGGATTTGTACCTGACCAACGTGGGTCTGTGGTTCAATGGTTTCATCTACTCGGCCATTGTCGGGCCTTATAATAAAGTCCAGCAACATGATAAATCTACATAAATTTTGAATTAAGTGTAAATTATCTATTTTTATTTCAAGAAATCTCTTAAATAAAGGATGCAACGTCTAAGTAATTTAATTATGTTTTGCTTAATATCAAAATCCTGGGTGCCACACCCAGTCTAAATAGTTAAGTTTAAACGAAATTTCCCGGCAATAAATTGCGAATTGATATTCGTAATAATGAATATTTAAATTATTAATCATGTAAGTAATGATGGGATACATTATAAACGTCATTAGAAATGTTTTATTAAACATCCATCACAGACTTGCACCCAACTGAACCCATTAATTATTCAGACGTATACATAAAGTCGTATTAAAATCGAATTACAAACTATAATTCGTGTTTAATTACTACGTGTTAACTACAATTTAAATAATTGGAACTTTAATAATAACTCCGAAAGATAAATTATACGATATTTAATCCTGTAGCAATTTGGTAATTCGATTTTAATCTTTATGTGACTTTCAGGCTATGATCTGGTGGAATGGTTGGTTGACAATTTGGATCTTGATGATATGGGTAAGACATTAAATTTCTTAATTAAGTTTAAATATTTAATTACTTATTTTAAAACTTTAATTTTAATTATTTTAAACAGAAGCTCTTCATTTGGCCAACCAACTTTGCTTTTATGGTTACTTTTTCCCTGTAAATGACACAAAATCGTTTATTGTGAAGGACGATGGAACTTTTTATAGATTTCAGGTAAACGTTCCTTTTATTGAGATTGTTTCTAATTTACTGTATTATTTATTTCATAATAATCTGTTTTGCTTATAGACACCATATTTTTGGCCTTCCCATCATCGGCCAAATAATACAGATTATGGTATGTATAACATTAGAATTATACATATATATTCATATAATATAGTTGATTTGTTTTACTTAATTAACAAATATATAAAATATGATGCCAGCTAGGTATGGATAACACTTAAATGGGGACCGCCGAATGGCCGAGAGGTTAAGGTCGAGGGATTCGGGATTGAATCTGGACGGGTGGAAAAATCCCAGGAAATTTTGTGGTGGTCATCAAGATGTCTGATCCGTCTCTCACCATTCGGCCACTCCATTGTGGGCCTGTCCCAATTCTACTGACCACATGGTTTCAACTGATTAACATGAGAATCAGAGCTTGAATCTGATTCAGGTCTTAAAATTTATCATTACTAGAATGAGTAAGAGATTTCATTCCTTATCCATTGCCTATGTTGTGAAACCCCGTAATGATGAAATTGCGGCAGGTAAATCTTAATGCGCCGTGCAAATATTCTGTACAAAGATCTTTGAACATTTCATCTGGAACTGTGTTTATAATGTATGTAATATACCGACATTACATGAATTATAAACACTGTTGACATATGATATAACGGACTAATAAGGGAAAATGATTGTTCGCTGTATCCAAAGATGTCATGGACAATTATAAAACAAACTTTCTACGAGTTACGATAAAAGATAAATATCCTAAATTGTGGTAAATAGAAGAATGACAATTATCCCTCTTCCATTCAGGAGTATAAACAATAACTTTCGACGTATTGCCTAGTAAATATTCCTGAAACTCAGTGGAAATGTGATATTCTCAAATATTAGGCGCAATATCTGGTAGAACGGATTTAATACAGTTCGAATACAGCTTTAATAGCTTTGTACTAAAGCCATTTTACCAGACAATGTGCCCATTGCATTCCAATCCAATTGTCCGGGAACAAGAGCGTTTGGTCCGTTGTTACCGAAATCCGTTACATTGGGGTTTGTACAAGACTTAAGGCAGGGTTCGGCAATCTTTTTGTTACTAAGGGCGCAATAAAAGTTTTAAAAACCATCGAGGGCGCACAATTTAAATTTTTCAAAAAAAATCAATGCTGGAAGCTAAAATATTGAGAGTTGCTGTAAAAAATAGAAGAGGGCCCACATATTCTGAAAAAGGTTCTCTTAGTGCGCTCAAAGCAGAAAAGATAACCTTCCTTCTTGTGAGTACTTTCAGGCCAGTTGGGAGGGCGGTGGTGAGGAACTAGGCCCTGAGGTATTTCGATCGCTGGATTCCCTAGAGATAGGCTGGCGCCTAACCGCCTCGGCCGTCCGGCCTGCCTTCTTACATACTTATTAAATCACACGCCGAAAAGCATCAATAAAATTCAGCAATAATTACACGAAGTAACTTAGGCGTCATACATTGACGAGATGGCTTAAACGAATATATATATATTTTCAGCTATATATTTGGTGAAGAAATCACTCCGAAGTAAACAGAAAAATTCCCTGGAGGACTACGAACAGGTTAACTTTTCACTCGCATACTCTAATTGATTATAATTGTTAAAGTAAATAGAATAATTTTCATTAGGAATCTTTGGCTCAACTGAAAAAGTTCTTGTGCCACAAATGGGATTTCATTTGCAAACAAGCGGAAGAGCAGCTGAAGTAAATTAATTTAAATCATTAATTAGTTTCAATGTGGAAGAAGATTTAAAAAACACCAAGTTTTATTTTCAGTTTAACAAAAGAAAGAAGGAAAGCCGATAAAATCATTATGGAAAGTCAAGAGAAAGCTTACTGGAGGGTTCATCGTCCTCCTGTGAGTATGGCATTTCCACTTTTTGATCGATTCTCAAAAAGGTAAAACAACATTAAATTTACAGTCGTGTGTTCAAATTACAACAATTAATGTAGATTTTCATGAAAAAGTTAATGGAATTTCGTTTATTCTAACATTTTTAATTCACTTAGCGGAAATTTAATACGTTTTTGCTGATGCAATAAACTTTTGGATAATGTTTAATGTATATTATTTTGAATTTTACTTTACGGTTTAGCCCGGTCACGTCTCGTGTATGGATCGTTGTCCAATTCCTAATAAAAGAACGAGAAAAAGGAAATCTTTAGAAGATTTAATTTCAAAGGTACAAATTTTATGATATGAACACAAGGTGAGGTGATATGTACAATAATTATTATGGATTTACAGTTGAAGCATGTTCCTAGAACAAGAGTTAAAGTTTCTCAGGCAATTGAGAGGCGAGTACCTCGTATATAATTTTTTTCGAAATTATTAAATTTATTTTACATTAATGTTAGATGATTTTTCCTTGCTTCTCAGCCTTTTCAATCGATGGCAACAGTATGCGGAACACGATCCTTTTTTCTCTAGCGGTCAGATAAACAATCCTTGGATAATGGACGACCCGAATTTCTGGAAGTTAAATGCCAGTTTGTAAGTTTAATAGATCATTTTTGACAGTTTTATAATTATCATTATTATCTGAGTCTTAGTTTTGCTCAGGGTAGAGATCCCATTGGAGAAAAGAATCCGTCGATGGGCCATTTCACTTCGAGAATTGTTAAGTGATCCGACAGGAGTTCGGCAGTTTGAAAACTATTTGAGAAAAGAGTACAGTCACGAAAATATTGTATTTTGGAAGGAAGTACAAGCTCTGAAGAGAGGTTCTCAGAGAAACATGAAAGAAAAGGTGCAACGAATTTACAAGTAAGTACTTCGAATGATTTTTATGATGGCCGGATGGCCGAGCGATTAGGCTGGGCAGCTCCAGTATCGAATCTATACAGGCCCCCACAATATACATATATATATATATATATAATACTAAACGTACTTTCTTCTACAGCGAATTTATTGCGCCCAACTCACCAATGGAAGTAAATTTAGATAGTAAAACTCACGAAACAATAATTGAAACTATGAAGAATCCGACAAGATACACATTCGATACTGCACAAGAACACGTCTTTGCCCTAATGGAAAAAGACACTTATCCAAGATTTCTTCGTTCAGACGATTATAAAAATCTTCTCCACACGGCGCGGCAGACATCACACAAGAAGCGCCTCTTCATTTTTGGCTCCATAACTAGAAAAAAGGGTTCTCCAGATACTACACCAACAACAAAACGCAGATCTAACGCTGCTCAAATTTCTGGGAGTTCTGTTGATTTAACTCATATGTCAAGGGCTCTAGAGACTGAAGGGTGGCCCTTTTCCGGTCGGCATTCCCACAGTACCAGTGACTTACACGATCTTGATCTCCCATCCGATAAGATGACGTCGAGTAGGTGAGTATTTCTTGTGAGTATGTGACGTTCCCTTTAAGTTCTCATAAATTTTGGTTTTTCAGATTATCGTCTCCTTCAGGATCCCGTGAATTGTTAACCGATCCTGCTGCTCATTCCACTCTTCAAGTACCTAGCGTGGGTCACAAGAGTAGTGAAGACAGCGGGTCTGAAGACGATAGTCAAAATTTAACTTTGCCAGTTCCATCTGTCGCATCTGTTGGTAGCCCACTTGCATCTCCAGATTCACAAGCTTAAAATGCCATCATGAAATCGCGGGATGGGACCTATTTATTATTTTTCTTTTTTTTTACGTTAAAACATTCATTTATTTAATATTTAAAAACGTCTTTTCTTTTTCCTCTCAAAAAAAAATTATCATTTAGAACCAAAAAACTCGAACGATTTTAGTAAGAATTTATTTTTATATTTAATTCATGTATTTTAAATTTAAATAAATTTTTAAAGTTTTCATGTCACAAACGTTCTTTGTTAATGGAAACTTCAAATGCTCCCGTCCCAAAAATTAGGCCAAGTGGAAGAATTTCTCTCTTAAATCATTGGTCTACAACGAACCACCGTATAAACGATGGCCAATTTAACTGTAGGTTAATTAAACTGTCGTTTTATTTAGATAGATCTAAAACTAGGCTTTGTCGAAGCCTTAGCTGTGATATATATAGTTAATTTCAATGGTGCTGAACATATATTGTATTTAATTTCGTTCCATTGCTAACATAGTTAATTATCATTAAGAAAATTGTATACAGATGTGTACATATAAAAAATTTGTAGTATTTTATTTTTTGATATTTTTTATTGTTTTATTGTGATGTGTATGCGATGTTGTATATTATTAGATCGTCATATATCTTTGTAGATCATATACATATACTGAGCAATAAAGTTAATGGATAGCTTGTTTTAGTCTGAATTATATAAGAAAACACCGAATCGAACCTTTACCCCATCTACTGCAGGGCATGAGAGAGTTGACACGATTGGATTGATGGTATAAGACAATGTAAAACATGGGCGATTTGTCTTTTGCGGGAAACTGAGCCCTATTTAGATATTAGACACTTAAAATACATGGAAAATTCCACGAGATCAGGTGAGAAACCGCGACCAACTACCTGGTCGCGGTTTCGCACCAGTTAATATAATGTTTATCTACTCGGCTGTTAGTAGGCGAGTAGATACGAGCTCACCCCCTTTGAAAGCATAAAAATGTACGAATAAAATAATTTTTACCATTTTATATAGATGATGAAATTTTGGGGTGTAAATGATCCTGCCCATTAATGGGAAAGTGGATAAAAGCACAACACTGGTCACGGATTCGCGTCTAACCGACGATTAGTGTGAAGTTTTCTTCGTGTGTTTAATACCTAAGTATAGCTCAATTTCCCTTGAACACTTGAACAATCTGCCCTTAGCAGATTGTTGTGTGTGTTGCTTTATTCCATTAATTTAAATGACATCCCTTCTACATTCTTTTCCAGTACGATATTAATCAAATGTTCGAAAACTTTTTCCGTCTAAGATGATATAATATACAAATCTACAGTTAAAATGACAAAAATAACATCTTTAGTATATGAGTAGTCAACATAGAATTTAAAATGAAAAAAAAAAAAAAAAAAAACAGTAAAAATTCGATAACAAATCCGTACCATGTACTCGGAGCCATGTTAAAGAATCATCGCAATTAGCTCGATTTATTAATATTCAGTAAATTTAAACTATATTACATTAAAATTGCTTTATTTATTTAATTTTAGTAAAAAGTTCGATAGTTTTATTATAAAAAAGTAAAATATTTATCAGCATTAATCTGAAATCTAAATTCATTAGCGACGTATAAAGGAAATATGGCGGATAAATGATGGTTGTGACCGGAACATTCATTTTAATACTTTTTTAAACAAAAAATAAAAATAAACTAAAGAAAATGCCAAAACGAATACATTTTAATAAATTTAAAATTTATAGACACAAAAATTCGAAATTTCGATTACAAATTCCTGAAAAGTTAATTACAAAATCGAAATATTGAGTAATATAATCATCACTCGAATTGTTCAGCTTTGAAATTATATAATTAAACTCTTATTAACTTACATAACAGGAGAAAACAAACTCATTTATTCAATATTATACATATTTACGACCTTAGTAATATAATACGTCAATGTTCAAATACAATACAATAGCCCAAAAGTCAGTTAACCACTGTAAAATAGTAAATTTGTATCTTATACGAATAATTTAACATTTAACAACTTTACAAAAAAACTGTTTAATACACAAATTACACACGATTTAACGAATTAAATAATGTTTTCTTTTAAAAAAAGCCTACGATAGTTTACTGAGTTTTGGGCCACCCTTTATATGTTAGACAGGCCTTCATAAGAGGATTTCGTATATAATAATCGGAATTTTTTAAAAAATAATACTAGTGATCCTGCACTTTTTATCATCTTTAACTATGCCCTGTGGGTACTAACTTGTAAAAGGGTTTTTTTTTTCTCCTATGCTCACTCATCGTGGATTAGGCCAAGTCTATAATAGGGGAAGCCCGACTTATCCGGGACATACCTATAAAAAAATTATTGTGTTGATTACCCGGATCCGATCCCGAGTACCCAGAGCGGTAGAAAGACATCATAACCCCCGGGCCATCCGGTTGTCAAGCCATTTTTTGGCTAAGATTGGTATCAATAATTTGATTACGGCTTCTTTTTTTTTAAAGTTTTATCCTCAATTTATCTATCTGAAGTCATATTGGCGCCACAGCATGAAATCCTCTTATCCACCTGATTACTTGGTAAGAGGATATCAATGAATTGTTTTCTATTTTTGGTTACATAACCTTTCATTAAAAACAGATTACATGTTACAATGTGAATAAAACAATCCCTTATTAGTTTAATTGGTGACACACATATAAACATTTTATTTTTTTTATTTTTCTCGTATAAACGACCTTTTATAAAATAGCAGTAATAGTCGAATATGATCTTTCCTTCACCCCAAGTTCAAACTTAATAATATTTTCCTATCTGTATGACCTCTCATGATACCTGAAGCAAAGTAGGAGACATATTTGTAAAGGCCTACTGGCATTTCTCGTGTAGCAGAGTTCGTGTTTTGTTGTTTAAGCTTCTAAACAATATGATTTATTAATTCATATCAGGATCCGCTACGTACCCGTGTGCGTTTAGTGGATATATGGGACAATATCGTTCCACTCGAATCGCAGTTTGGGATACGTGAAATCACGTGAAGAGATGAAAATTAACAGTGCATTTTACTCGCGTGGGAATGTGTGAAACGCACTATTAAGTATACCCGAAAATAGTGTTAAGAGGATGTTGGATTTCCTTATTAGTTAACAGAGCAATTTCATTTTTTAGCTGGTAAACAGTAAATAAAACCTTTGGAGCATCTCGCGTGACTAAAAACTAAGTACCGTAACAAAGAATTTTACCGCATGCAATCTTTTGTTAATACACTTCAAGACTTATAATTATATATTCTAACTAATAAAATACCCATATTAAACAAGTACACTTCCGTCGTTTTCTCATGATACAAACCCTGAGCTTTGAAAAAGTTACGTTAAACTTAACAGAATCTGTTAATTTACGTCACTAATTTGAGCAAATTTCATTAATTCTTCGTAGATTGATTTTTATACGACGATTTTTCTAGATAATCCAAAGCCAAGTACTTATCCAGAGCCTTATAGACAGAGCTGGATAAGTCTTCTTGCTCATCCGCTTCCGGCTTGGGCACATAATTTGGAACTAACGATGGAACATCTTCTGATTTACAAATGGGAGAACTAGAAGAACACACGCTATCGTTATCCTTCCATCCCTTATCGTAATTTTTCTCCACTTCTATATTCGATTCGGACTTTATACAAGGGATACCTCTGCGAATGCTTATGATGAAACAGATGAGGGATAGAACCGAATCGATAAGTGCCAAAGCCAAGAGTACAGCGTATATCGTAATAAAGAGGTTCCTTCTATTAGGGTCTTCAGTTTCGTCGCGTCTAGTTATGGATCTTGTTAGCCCTACAGTTGCAAAGACAATCAGCAGACCAATTGCAAGTTCTCCAACGACTGTGACTACAAAAAGGGCGCACCAACGTCTGACGTTTGTGGGTTCTCTTCCTACTGCGAGTGCCAAGATTCCGTTGATTCCAACAGCTATACCAGCCCAAATACCCGTACCATAAGAATTCATAAAGTCTGAGGTAACAGCTACGGATCCACTTATGAGAAGAAAAACCGAACAGAGCAGCTTACACATACCCAAATCGGAAATCAACGTACGAGGATAATGCGGATGTTGTTCCTCCACCAGAACAGCCGGATAAAAGAGAGACGGTCGACCTTGATAGAAGAGAAGACCATCTCGAGACTTCGGGGTCGTCATCTGTAATGAAGACCACACGAGAAAACTTAATAGGGATATCAGCGCATGATAATCTGACCTAAAATTTATCAACTGTATCTAAGAGATAGCCGATTAAGGCGAATGATGAGTTGGCTTATTTATTAGCACAGAAATTAGAGCAAATTCCTCTTTTAAATCATTTCCTGGAGGTTAAAAATTCGATTTAATTAATAAAACATGAAAAAACCGATTATAGCGTAGAGATTTGATTTATAAAACGCAGATACTCAACTATGCTGGTGTACTTCCAAAGAATACTTTATCATTTTGTTTATGTCGAAAATTCTACTTATTTTTAAATACGGATTTCTTAAATAGATATTTCTACTTAGATTTTTATATAAAATCTTTTATTTTTATTATATATTACCTTATTAACCTAGTGATAGTTACCTCCACAACGCATTGATGCTTTACGAGTTCGCGTTACGCAGTGCGTTCATATAAAACAGGTTACAACGCGAAAAAAAATCGATTAAAAATTTTTACAAACTGTTTAATATTTAAATAGAAACTTTCTAAACACTAAAATTTAATTAAAAGAATTCGTCTATTTTTATAATTAAAAAAAAAAAAACAATATAAAATATTACCTTTGACTTCTCTCAAGCCGCCAATTCCAAGTATACACGTGATTCCCGCCACAGCTGACCTTCTACTTACTGCGCATGTACGGAAACAGTAAACTGCACTTGTAACCTAGTTACGATAGCTACGAGGCAGACGATCAGGTTGGGGAGACGACAATGTAGGACCGTTCCACATTCGTACAATTTTTGCGGTTATTACTACTTATCATCGTAATATATAAATAAATTAAGCAATTTTAAATCATTACGAAAAAAAAATAATTATTATTATTATCGTATTAAGCAATTTAACACGCGGTTCGAGAGAAAGTAATTCAAAAATTTAAATTATTAATCTCGCGCCAAGAGGTTATTAAAATTTTTTTTTTTTAAATTAAAATAAGAATGTTTTAATAATTAATTTATGAATTATTACGTGAAATTTGAAATTGTGAAATATATTAAGCAGTAAATTGTGTCGATTTAGTATCTTGATGTCACGTGATTAAAAATTCGATTTACCCGTTTTTAAATTATTGAATCCAGATATTTATCGGTACTCTTTTGTCATTAATCTTAAAAGTTGGTAAGATATAAATAGATTTCGATCGCTGTACATCGATTATTACTTTATATATATCTTTTTTATCAATAAAGAATTCGAAAATAAGTTTTAAAAATTTAATTTTACATAAAGTAACGATTAAATAAATAAAGAGTTTATATAAAAATAAAACTTATTTTATTATAGATTCGTGGAATATTGTCGATATTGATTCAAAATAAATTAATAAATACATTAAAGAGTATTTTACTATAGATTTTAATTTTAAAAATATATTATATATTTATATTTTATTATCTTAATTTGCTAATAGTTATTATTTTAGTTTTATTTAATAAAAAAAACAGGTATTAATTTAAATATTAATTTATTATATAAATGTGTTTACAATTATTTAAGAAAGGAATCAAATATTTAAAAATTAATCACGTGATTATAGTTAATTATTTATGTTTACGACATGAAGCCCTCTGGTGAGTTAAATTAACTATTTAGAATAATAATTAAGAGTAATGATAGACTTTTTAAAATAAGCTTAAATTTTTAAATTATATAAAGCACTTTAAATAATTTTAATTTGAAACTGTTTAAATATTTATTAAAAGTTTAGTATTTCGTGTTTTCTTCCTCTTGTGGACACTTAGAGGGCCTTTTTTATAAAGCAGCCCATTATGGATTCGGCCAGACCCATAGTGAGGCAACAAAGGCACGACGGATCACCCCCGAAAAAAATTCCTGGGCTTTTCGACCCTTTCTTATTCGATTCCGGGTGTCCCAGCACAGTAGGTTGACACTTTATCCGCTTTAGCAAAGTGACAGCCTACCGTTCTGATGGACCCGGGATCGAATCCGGACGAGTTGAAAAATCCCCAAGAATTTTTCGGGGGTGAGCCGACAGGATATGTTGGTCCCCGTCCCTCACCACCCGGCCGTCGCATTGTGGGCCTGGCCGAACCCATAATGGGCTTGCTAAAAAGAGGTTCTCTTAGTGCCCACAGGGCGAAAAGAGTTTTAAAAAAAATTCGGCCGAGTGGCTAAAGTGGCAAATTAAATAACGAAAAAAATGGTTTTGAAAACACGTGAAACGTTAGCATTGAAGAATTTTATCCTGTAAATTAAATCAATATTAGTCTCCAGAGTTGCAGACTAAACTCCCTTTGATTCGGATTAAAACCCAATCCCCAGAGTGTTTGGATTGTCTGGTAAAGCACCAGGAAGTTGACCTAGATGTGGCGGCCCTTCTCACAATATCTGGCTATCCTATTGCAAACCATAATGGTAGGATCTGCAAAAGAAAGCTTTCTCAGTACTAGCTGTGTTAAAACAGGGAAGTATTTTAATAAAAAATAAATTTGTATAAAGGAACATAATAATAGGATTATTTTCAAATGGAGACATAGAAGAGTATCATGACTTCGCCAGTAGATTTAGGTTCGATTTTCTTTCGTAATGGGTCCACCTTTCGTTTGCTCGTTTTAAAACTTAATAAGACGGCCGAATGGCCTAGCTGTTAGGATAACAGTCGACCGCTTCGGGGGACCTGGAATATACTATTTGTTTTTCATATACGGCAACACGACACGTGGGCGATGCCTCCCAGGAGGACTTCTATGGATAAGTGGTCCCTATTTAGATGTTATAAACATGAATAAAACCCGGAAAACTCCACCTGGTCGACTCTTTGGCCAGTACGAACCCATGTCCAGTAGTTTTATCCACTCAACTGCTTGTGGGCTCAAAAATTAAAAAAAGTAATTAATTATATAATTATTAAAATAATTAATTTATGCTTTCTCATTAATATATTTTAAATTAGAAATTTGCTATCACTGTTTATTGGTATCATCTTTACTACAAGAAACGATGGTAGATAATGACTACATGTAACGTAATATCATTAAGCATCTACCATCTTAAAGAGACATTTATTAATCATAAATACTCTCTTCTATAGCCATAGGAAACATATGAATAATAATTCTTCTTGGATTGACATTGATAGTGTCTCGCTATTGCAAATTTGTAGATTATATATTTACTTAGATAATGACGCGAATGGCTATAATATACGAGATAAGTCAAACAGCGTGATCTAATTAGCATCGAATACAGCATCCAGAAATTACATTTTCGTATAGTTTAAGAATAATTTCACTATAAATAAATGCCTTATAAATTCATTTTCTTATAAAAATATCTTGTGAATTTTTATAAATGCTAAAATAATAAAAATTATTGAAAATGCCACACGAAAAACTTATAATATTGATTTTCTTAAGGATTAATTCTAGAAAAATACACCCGATGCTCCTGCCATCTCGTGTTCGTAAAGATAAGTATAAAAGCATGCTGTTTGGTGACATCTGATCGGTATTTCTAGTCAGGATAGAAAATATATATGTCAAAAGTAAGGATGCGTTTTACTTATTTTTTAAATTTAAAGTGAATACAATAAAGATTTTGGCAGTGCTAAGTTTATTTACAATTTAATTTGTTCATGATACAGGTGTTAGGCTTCTGATCATTAGAAAAATATGATTTACAATTCATTTGTGAATAATAACTTAAAATATATATTCTTAATGGAAATATGTTTCTGTTTATTCATAAATAAGAAACAATTGTAGATACACCAGAAGTTTCTATAACAATCAGCATAAAATTTTTCCTTCTTATGCACTTGGGTGACTTAAACAAATTTCATTACATATCAACATCTCCAACATTATATAACAAAGATTTTCATAGAAAGAAGGGAATAACAACTCCATATTAAAAAACTACTAGGCCTGAGCATGTGGATGAAGTCTTGGATCAAATGATCCTGTTGGTTTGGTCCTTCCTAAGCTTAGTTCTGTTCTATTCAGGCTGAAGTGTGCAGGAATGAATTTATTCTGAGAATGTTGTGTCCTTCTGATCCATTCCAATCAAATAAACATTGTTTTTTTTTGTATTCTGTCTGCACTGTGGGCACATTTTCAAGTTCATCATGGGTTCAGTCAGGCCCAAAACTGGACAGCAGGATTCTATTCTACGACAGACCACTCAAAAAAATTTCTGGAGTTTTTCAGCTACACAAATTCAATTCCAGGTCCCCCTGGCAGCATGCTGAGGCCTTAGCTGTCTTGGTTATCTGGTTAGCTAATGAATATCATTTAATTTGGAAGCTGTTCGATTGAGAAGTCTGAAACTGTTGAACGATATAATAAATGATCAATTTCTATAGTTCAATCTGTTTTCTTGTTCTCAAGATTTCTTGTATTAAAATAATTTTATTCAGAAACATTCTAACAATCTCTTAGCTTTACATGTCCCGATTTTCTAAATGTACAATGTTTTGTTGATTGAGATCATTATTATTACTATTCTAGCCAGCAGCTATAGTATATAACTTAATATTTTATGTGAAATAACAAAATTCACATGAAACTTAAAGTAAAAGAATTATTAATAATTTATCAAAGCATTAAATTTAAATTTCCTGGAATTACCATAAAAGTTTGTAAATTTGGTTGTAAATTTCAAGGTTCAGCCTCGAGAATTTACTTTTTTGATTTTTCTAATAATAAATTATTGTGTATTAAAAAACAATAAAAATTTTCCTTCTTAGTTTTGAAAGTCACCTTTAATTATCATAAAATAGATTATTTTTAAAACATATATTTATTATACAAATGAATTTTTAAGGAAAGAAAGTAGATATTTTCAATTAACATTTAAACATTTGTAATTGGATACAATTATATAATAAACCGTAGTCTGTGTTGAAGATCAGATGGCCAAAGCTGTTAAGCCGTTGCGCCACCTCTCTGGTGGACTCAGGACTGAATCCAGGCAGTTGAGAAATCTCAAGAATTTTTTATGGGCAGTCTTCCATAGATACCCCATCTTTTGCTATCTGGTTGCCCTACATGGGCCTGCCTATCATGTGACGAATATGAAAAGGCCCCCTTAGTGTCCTGTTGGCACTAAGGGAGCATTAAGTGGAGAGAGCACTGAACTGAGTGGTGGTCTAATGAGGGTGCTGTTATATTATGGTAAAATGCTCTGTAAATTATTTATTAATTTCAGTAAATAATTTTATATTTGAAATTATTTTACCATAATTTTATATTATGGTAAAATGCTCTGTAAGGCCTGTAGTTTTAGCTTAAGTTGTAACTTATGTACTAATAGTTTACAGAGTTAGTTTTTTATAAGAAGAAGCTCTGTAGCGTCTAAGCTATGACTTCAGACATTTATAATTTGTTTTTATCTATAATGCCATGAAACCATATTTCTACACATTTTTGATGAAAATCAAATTATTGTGATGTTTAATCAAAATTTTTGTTGTAATGTTAATATGAAAAATACACTGTCTTCCAAAAAGAATTCTACCGCTTTGAATTATCGTAATTACATTAATTATTATCCGAGAATGTTGTATGGTAAAACATTGCAAAACTGTCAAAGTTTCACATTTGTCCATTACAATTTATCAATTTATTTATTTTGTAATGGGCAAATGTGAAACTCTGTGCGTGTGCACCTTGTGTCGTATGGCACACATCCAACCGATACTCAAATTCTTCCTCTACTTGCCACAGTACATCGCTTGTGACGCCTCTAAAGGCAGCCACGATTCTATGGCTCTTGCAAATTCATGTCATACAATGACAAGTGATTTCAACTTTGCAAACTGCAGAACACAGAATGCCTTACTCCATTGCAGAGTTGCCATATTTGTTTATGACACTTCCTATGGGTATTGTATGTCGCATGCTTCTTGGATAATAATTAACATAATTACAGTAATTTAAAATGGCAGCATTTGTTTTGAAGACTCTGTGTTTAAAATTTCTGATGAGTTAATGATAAAAATCATTTTATATTTTGTATAATCAAGTTTTAAACAATTGTTAATATAACTGAATGAAAAATAGAATAGAAACAAGAAGGGATTAAAAGCTGGAAACAAGAAATATGCCGCAGAGAGACAGAATAAAATGAGAATATGCAGTAACGAAGCTAATGATGAATTGGAATCTCACTTTGATGATTTAAAGCTTGATGAGAAAGGTATTTTAATGTCAGTTAAGACAGATTATTGAATGATACTTGACATGTAATTAATGAAATTTATTCTCTCATAGATGACGATTCTTCTTATCCCACTGTACCGTTTAACGTGGCAATGTGGGATCTGAATCATTGTGATCCAAAAAAATGCTCGGGACGTAAATTATCTAGACTCGGACTTATAAAAACTTTAAAACTAGGCCAGCGATTTAATGGAATTATTTTAACTCCATCAGCCAGCCAATGTGTTGCTCCAGATGACAAGTATATTCATTTTATTATTTTATAATCAGTAAACTAGAAAATTTATGTTATTTATATATTACAGAGAAATTATTGATAAATATGGAGTTGCAGTTGTCGATTGTTCTTGGGCCAGAATTGATGAAACACCATTTTCAAAAATGAAAGGGTCACATCCCAGACTGTTACCTTATCTAGTGGCTGCTAATCCGATTAATTACGGTCGACCGTGTCAATTATCTTGCGTTGAAGCATTGGCGGCAGTGTTTTATTTAATCGGTTCGTATTCTGACAAAAATAATTTTGTAATGTCTGAACATTTAATTACTTTTTATAATTATAGGTTATGATGATTTTGCACACATGTATTTAAAAAAATTTAAATGGGGTCATTCGTTTCTCGAACTCAACAAAGAGATTTTAGATAAGTGTCGGGAATGCCATACTAGTTTAGAAGTTGTACGAGTACAAGAACAACACTTAAATCTGTTGGAAGAGGAAGCTGCTGCTAAGAAAGGTGCATACAATTATTGCAAATTATATTTGGTACATTCAGAATGTTTGCAGATGGAATGAGAATGTCTGATTTTCTTTAAATATGAGTTCATTCCAGAAGGGAAAACCATGAACAAAGAATTGTACATCCAAATTCTTTGATGATTATGTGAAACAATGACAAAAATGGCCTCAAAACTGGGTTCTATAACATGATAATGCTCTGGCTCATCAATCTCTCCTTGTTTAGAGGTATCTGATGAAGCATTCCATCATTGGACCTTGTGTTGTCTGCCTCTTTCTCTGTATGGAATACACATACAAAATGTTGAAAATTTGTCAAATGTAGATGAGGTGATTGCCACTGTAAAAAGTGCACTTTAGAGGGTTGCAAATGAATGGTTCAAGGATATTTTAAAAAACGGTATGACTGCTTGATAAAGTGTGTTACTGTAGGAGAATATTTTAAGGGTGATTTTTGTCAAAATGTAGCTAGAGCCGATAAAAAAGGTGACAAAAATCTTTTCTGCAAACTTTTTGAACGTACCATATATATTGTTTCTATATATTTAATTAATTTCATTTATTCTTTTAGATGAGATTGACTTACCACCATTGGTAGAAAGCAGTACTGATGATGACGAAGATGATTAAAATGTTAATTATTTGTAATAAAGTTTGATGAAAAATCATTTATTTGGGTACTTTATATATATATATATATATATAAAAAGATGATGATAGATTAAAAAAATTGAATCTTAATAACAATCCATTCCTGGAAATTTCGTGTCTTCACAATTGATGATATCATCCAATAGAGATTCAAAATTATTTGTATAAAGATCTGTTGATTTTTCACTTTCTTCCAAGATTGATCGCAAATTTTCAGATTGTAGAATTTCTACAAAGTCTTTTACATCCATTTCTATGTCGGTACTATGCAAAATATCTACAACATCATTGACTTTTGAAATAGGTTTAATCAGATCACAAATTTGTTTGTCAGTTTCGATATCAAGAACACTTTCAATTATTCTAGATCTGCTTTCATCATTAATAGAAATACTCATGGAGTCGGATCCCAATTTTAGGTCATCTTTAGCTCTGCGTATAAAATTATTTAATCCAGACGATGATGTATCGGTATTTATAGACGTGAGGTGACCTATTAAGTCGAGAAGAATCTTAACTGCTACGTTTTGTACAGTTTTATCGTGATCTTCGATTGCACTTGTAAAAGAACGAGCAAAACCGCACTGACACAAATCCGTCAGCAATTTTTGATCGTTGTTATTTGACAAAGTTAAATTCTGGTTGAGAATAAATTCCCAACTTTTTAAGGCAGACATTTTCACTTCCCAATCTAAGTCCGTGGTAACTGCCAAATAAAGAGATTTATAGAAATATTGAGGCACATCTTTGCTTTCGATCCAATTAAAGATGGCTTTTGCGGCAGCTCGGTGTACAAAAGTGTCCGAGTCGCACAATAAAGCTCGACAGTAAATTAATAAAGCATTATCCTAAAAAATAAGAAAAGTGAGAATGTATATCATAAATAATTTTAAATATTTAATAATAATTAATACTAACCAAAGAAATCTTTTTATCTTCAAAGAGACGTTTCCATCCTTCGGCAGATAAGATAAAATAGGAAACTGTTTGAATGGCTGTTGCTCTGATGTAACCTTCGTAAACTTCGGAATTTGCAATGTCCCATATAATGGTATGAAAGGACTGCTTACAGAACCAAGGGATAATGTCTGAAATAAAAACATTTATAAGTGTTTCTATTATTTACTTGCAAGGATAATACTGTAAACATTCTCATTGCATCACAAGAAGCAATTTTAAGCATGTACTTACATTGCCAAGCCAAATTTTGCAAATAAAATTTTTTGTTTTATCACCTTATAAAATAATTGCTTACTAATGCCGAATGGTCTGCTGTATTATCAGACTATAATAAGGCTAAATTAATAATTAGATATAAAGTAATTGGCTAGAAGTAGGTGGTTAGGCTGCCACCTTGTGAATATTAGTGAGGTTGAGGCCGAAGTTTTAAACGCGAAAACGTGTATGTCGGATGTTCAGCGCTGCTTTGCTGTAAGCCTAGAAGTTTGACAATGATGTTTGGATAGTCAGTGGAATCATGCTCGACATTCCAAACACCATTGTCAAACTTCTAGGCTTATAGAAAAGTGGCGCTGAATGTCTGACATACACGTTTTCGCATTTAAAACTTTGGCCTCAACTTCGCTATTTATAATAAAATTTCTGAAAGAAAATTGGCAAAGAGTGGAACATATGAATCTGCAACTCTTGCTTACCATAGAGATGTGTTGCCAATTATGCTACTTGAACCTCCATCTAATGCTTTAAGTAATGATGGCATTACTTAAAAATCAATTTATGGACTTATTGTTTATAATTGCTTACTGTAGATGCAATAAATTTTTTGCTGATATTTTAACTTATTCCATAAACTCATTAATATGTGAATTTATACATTTGCTATCAAAGAATCAACAATTTATTTTGATGGTTGGATGACTTGGGATTGAATCTAGGCAGAGAACTGTTAGAGAAAGGAAGAGATCATACATATATAATCTTTTCCTGTTTCTAACAGTTATGATTATAATGTTGACTGCTTGTAAAGTGGCAACACTTAGTGAGACCCTTAGAACATAAAGAGGTAAAAGAAACAATAGAACTACTGTAGTTTTCAGAAGTGTGTGCTACTATCAATGAATAGACACTAGTAGTAGTCTTCTAGATATACAGGATATACAGGTATCCTTTGTATAGCATGATATTTACGTTCCAAAAAGCTATGTTATGTTATGCAAATCTGTGCTATACAAAACAAAAGACTAGTGCAAAACATAGGTTTAGGATCCAACAGTTAAGAAAAATATAATATTCTTTTTTATTACTAAGAGAAATATGTTTATTAAAGAAATCAATAATTTATTTCTAGTCAATAATTAACTAACAATCACAATTAAAAGTCCTGTATTACACATGAATATTAATTTTAGTTAAACCAAGGGTTTTCTTTTTACAAACTATCATCATCATCTGAGCTTTTTTGTCAATCTTGATCAGAAATATCAGCAACATACTCATTTTTTAAATAATTTTTATCATAAATATTTTTCATGGATGACAAAAATACCAGTATGTTATTAATTGAAAATTTGTTCTAGCAGATTATGTTTATTCAGTCAAGTACCAAGCAATTTTTTTTTTTCCAGAATTTGATTTTCAGAAAACTGAATTGTTCGAGTCGGGAACAGTTTGGGTATCTAGATAACACTGTATTTTGTTTGTCATTTTTATGAATGTTTACTTACCTATGGTTAAAAAAAAGCTTAACAACACTTACCTAAAAATATTTAAATAAACTTTACTAAATACAAAGATTAATCTATAGAAACAAAACACAGTGACAATCTTAAAGGCTAAAGTCTGAAAGCATTGACAACAACACCTGGTTCATAGAAAAGGTAGGATAAGGAAGAAAAACATTTTACTATTAGTTTTCATTAAAGTACACAAGACAAAAGGCACAAAACAAATTGAAATTTCAATATTCTAAAATCTGGACAAATATGAGACAATGCGCATACTCACTTCAATAAAAAAAATATTGAGTAATAGCGTTTGTACTTAAAAATTGTGAAATATATGGAGGAATTTTCAAACCATGTATGAGAAATACCTGTAGAATAGTTACATGTAGTTATATGTCAGAATACAGTAGTGTACTTAAAGATAGTGTTTCATTATTGTCCCAACAAGAACTCCAAGAATATTAGAAGAGATCAGGGCCTGTCCCTCACCACCTGGTCATTTATATTACAGGTTTGGTCAAATCCAAGATACAGTACATATGATTAAAAAAACTCTGTTATGCCCACAGGACAGAAAATTATCAAGATCCTTTATTAGAATCCTTTTTTTGTTTAGATCTATCATAAAGTATATCATAATAATCTAAATATCAGGAAACTTATGAAAACTCAAATAAGAAGATTTTACCCTCAAACTTATGTAGTTTAAAACTTCTGTAAGATCTATTTGTTCAGATATATGAATAACATATGTTTGATAATGTTGGTCAATACTCCAAGTTTCATGTGCATTAGTTTGAAAGAGCTGCTGCTGCAAAGTCCAGATCACTGGATTAGCTGGTGTGCCCCCATTTCTTGGCACATTCAATCATCTCTTTGACTTTTTTCTTTGTGGATGTAACAATTGTTTTTATGCTACTGAAGTACTAGACACAAGAACTCCCATTAACAGTGTGACACCTAACATGACGGTTCAGATGTGGGCCAAAATCAAGTAAAGACCAGATATATGTGTCACATCAGGAGCACATGTGGAAATGTACTACCAGTTTAATATAATAACTAACTTTTTCAGATGTTTTTTTATTATTATTGTCTACAATACTATAATCACATTTCTTTTCCCAAAATTAATCCACAAAACTAGGGAGGATCAAGAGCAAACAGATTATATATAAAAGTTATTTAATTAAAATCTTTTAAAATTATTTTCTGTTTGTATTAGATTTAATTTTCAAAGATTGAATCAAATTTTATTCCATGTGCTTTTTATTAACCAAATTTAATCTGTTGTGTCTTGAGAATAAATCATAAATTTTCAAAAAGAAAAATGTTTAAAATAATTAAATTACAGTTTGTTTTTAATTAATCCATTAGTTAAACTTTTCTTGTAAGTAATAAAATTATAAAATGTTCTTTTAAAACATTACTCTTTTGTAAACCCTTTCTCTTTAACTCTTTATGCTCTGAAAATGTTTTCTAAGTACCTGAAGATGAAATTGCTTTTACCCCTGAGGCTCAAGGAAAATTTGTATAATAAAACCAGTTAAATAACTTTTCTTTCAGCTGATTTTGTCTTGAACAGATTGAGTCAATTTTGGTCAATCTCATGTTTAAAGAGTTAATTAATGAGCAATTATATGAGCAAGATCTTGATGCTTAATGTTCTAGATTTTAGTTGTGTTATACTTTTGCTGTTAACAAGTGAAACATGCTGGTCATCTATCTAACTGTTCTACAGAAAATTTTTAAATTGAAATAACACGACTTCCAGTCAAAACCAGAAGTTTGGATATACAGTAGTTAATCGGGACTTCTGGCTCCTAAGCTTTCCATTTCTGGTCTTGACTTTCATCTATCTAACTCCATTCTTGAGATTAAGGAAAGACAGACAGATGGATCACAGTGGAAATTTATAGACTTGCAATTTTAAAATTGCAGCCCAATAACCTTCCAAATATTAAATTATCAGTTCTATGTTATCTCAAGTCAAATAAATTAACAGTTTATCTAGTTAATAACTAATTACAGGTATACCTCACCTTACGTCGGTAATTGGTTCCAGGAGAGGCGACGTAAGTCGGAATTACTTGTCTCTGAATCTACTTGTCACTAGGCTAAACCATAAATTACTATTCCCAGTTCTGTATTTATTTATTAATGCATTTTGAATAATATATGGTTAATAAAACTCTATTTTAAGCTTACAAATAAATTTGTTTTTAATACAGTACAGAAAAAAGTAATCTAAATTTACGAATGCATGTACTGTACTGTAAATACAGTACATACTTGTAAATGTATATATTTTAATATGATTTTATGTGCTTTAAACGTTTTTCTAGTGATATTACGACTTCAATATTTGTGGCGGACAGACGTTAAGTCGAATAAAATGACTTAAACTTGATTTTTATTTTTGATACTTTTTTGACAAACGACGTATAATCGGGAACGACGTAACTCAAAACTACGTAAGTCGAGGTATACCTGTATTGTAATTCAGTTGTCCATTGACTTAACAAGCAAAAGTGATATGTTTTTCATGTATATTATAATAATATAATTTTGTTAAAGAAATTACACTATTATTTGCATGTAATAATAAGAATTCTTAAAATTTTTACCTTCGTGTGAAAAAAATATATCATTAATTAAACACAGAGTGCTGTCTATTACTTCCCAGTTCGGATCGAGCAATCGTTTTGTTAAAACATTTCTGAAAGCATCCAAAGGAGGAAATTTTCCCCATTCTTCATCTTGCTGTACACACAATTTTCCCCACAAACAAAGAAGTTTCCCTAAAAGTTTAGTGCACTTATCAATTACCTAAAAAAATACTTTATCAATATTCATTTTAAAATGTTATGTTAAAATTATATAATGATTTTTAAGATGCACTCACCGGCGAAACTGTGTTTGGACTTTCCAATAAATTAATGACGGCCGTTGTTAATCTAGATATGTCGAGTTTTATGTATTCGCTATCTAAAATGAAAATTTTGAAATCATTTCAGGATTACAAGATATAATAAAAATATATTTTTCATAAGATACATTACAAATTTACCGTAAAGTTCAAAGTTATCTAAGAAGAATGTAAGTAATGCAACTTGTAATCTTTGACAGTTGAACGGATAACCTTGCAACGTAGATCTGACTGAACATTCTGTTGTAAGCGAAAGCAAGCTTTGCAACTGTAGACAAATTTCTTGTTTTTGCTTGAAAATAAAATTAATTTTAATAATATTATGTATGCAAGTACATTAAGAAAAATCTGGAGCAACATACCTGACAGCTTAACTTCTTGGCAATTTTAGAAATAGAAGATATGTTTAAATTAATAATTTTAATAGTTGAATTTTTGTTATTTAGAGTCGATTCTAAGCAGGATAGAATGTAAGGAGGCACGTCTCCCGTGTCTGTTAAGTAGGATAAAGGAGATAAGAAAATATCCATTATCTCTTTAGACAAAGTTTCGTTTGATTGATTCCTGTAAGAAAGATTAGACTGTTTGTATAATTAAGTATTATTTTAAAATCTTTAATTACGAAGGAATTTAAATGGTTGATTCATAAATAGATTCATTAAATGGAATTCCTAGATTGAATTGATAAGATAAGGCAAGGCAACATGAGCAAAGAGAGAGAGGAGCAATCCATCAAGGAGAAGTGTCTTCCAGAAGGACTTTCTATGGGAAACTGGTTCCTATTTAGGTGTTACACATGCAAAGAAAACCTAGAAGATTCCACATGGCCAGATGCAAATGTGCAGACAACTTTTCACCACAGCATGCAATTCAACTTTTATGCAAAACTCAAGTGAGAAACCATTTTACATGCTCGTTAGTGAACTGATACATCATCTAGTAATTCCACACTAAATTAGATATTCATTAGATATCACTCATGGGGAATTATGAAATGAGTTCATAATTCCCCATGCAGATTATACCATTTTTGCAGGTTGTTTAATGACTACATATTGTATATTGTTAAGCAAATATCAGAGTTTACTTAGACAAACCTGTAAAGCAGTGATTCTCAAAGTGGGGGTTGCGACCCCCAGGTGGGTCGTGAAAAATATTTGGGGGGGTCGCAGAAAAATTGATGACAGATCAATTNCATACTTGTAAATGTATATATTTTAATATGATTTTATGTGCTTTAAACGTTTTTCTAGTGATATTACGACTTCAATATTTGTGGCGGACAGACGTTAAGTCGAATAAAATGACTTAAACTTGATTTTTATTTTTGATACTTTTTTGACAAACGACGTATAATCGGGAACGACGTAACTCAAAACTACGTAAGTCGAGGTATACCTGTATTGTAATTCAGTTGTCCATTGACTTAACAAGCAAAAGTGATATGTTTTTCATGTATATTATAATAATATAATTTTGTTAAAGAAATTACACTATTATTTGCATGTAATAATAAGAATTCTTAAAATTTTTACCTTCGTGTGAAAAAAATATATCATTAATTAAACACAGAGTGCTGTCTATTACTTCCCAGTTCGGATCGAGCAATCGTTTTGTTAAAACATTTCTGAAAGCATCCAAAGGAGGAAATTTTCCCCATTCTTCATCTTGCTGTACACACAATTTTCCCCACAAACAAAGAAGTTTCCCTAAAAGTTTAGTGCACTTATCAATTACCTAAAAAAATACTTTATCAATATTCATTTTAAAATGTTATGTTAAAATTATATAATGATTTTTAAGATGCACTCACCGGCGAAACTGTGTTTGGACTTTCCAATAAATTAATGACGGCCGTTGTTAATCTAGATATGTCGAGTTTTATGTATTCGCTATCTAAAATGAAAATTTTGAAATCATTTCAGGATTACAAGATATAATAAAAATATATTTTTCATAAGATACATTACAAATTTACCGTAAAGTTCAAAGTTATCTAAGAAGAATGTAAGTAATGCAACTTGTAATCTTTGACAGTTGAACGGATAACCTTGCAACGTAGATCTGACTGAACATTCTGTTGTAAGCGAAAGCAAGCTTTGCAACTGTAGACAAATTTCTTGTTTTTGCTTGAAAATAAAATTAATTTTAATAATATTATGTATGCAAGTACATTAAGAAAAATCTGGAGCAACATACCTGACAGCTTAACTTCTTGGCAATTTTAGAAATAGAAGATATGTTTAAATTAATAATTTTAATAGTTGAATTTTTGTTATTTAGAGTCGATTCTAAGCAGGATAGAATGTAAGGAGGCACGTCTCCCGTGTCTGTTAAGTAGGATAAAGGAGATAAGAAAATATCCATTATCTCTTTAGACAAAGTTTCGTTTGATTGATTCCTGTAAGAAAGATTAGACTGTTTGTATAATTAAGTATTATTTTAAAATCTTTAATTACGAAGGAATTTAAATGGTTGATTCATAAATAGATTCATTAAATGGAATTCCTAGATTGAATTGATAAGATAAGGCAAGGCAACATGAGCAAAGAGAGAGAGGAGCAATCCATCAAGGAGAAGTGTCTTCCAGAAGGACTTTCTATGGGAAACTGGTTCCTATTTAGGTGTTACACATGCAAAGAAAACCTAGAAGATTCCACATGGCCAGATGCAAATGTGCAGACAACTTTTCACCACAGCATGCAATTCAACTTTTATGCAAAACTCAAGTGAGAAACCATTTTACATGCTCGTTAGTGAACTGATACATCATCTAGTAATTCCACACTAAATTAGATATTCATTAGATATCACTCATGGGGAATTATGAAATGAGTTCATAATTCCCCATGCAGATTATACCATTTTTGCAGGTTGTTTAATGACTACATATTGTATATTGTTAAGCAAATATCAGAGTTTACTTAGACAAACCTGTAAAGCAGTGATTCTCAAAGTGGGGGTTGCGACCCCCAGGTGGGTCGTGAAAAATATTTGGGGGGGTCGCAGAAAAATTGATGACAGATCAATTTTTTTTTTCAAATATTTTATAAATTTACTATAGATTCATGTTTAGAAATAGAAATCAAAAATATATAAAATAATTTTTACTTAATATAAACAATAAAATACAATATGAATATTTTAATATGATCCTGAATATAACTAAATTAATCCCACCTTTGGGATGTTTTTCTACACATACTCATTATGTTAGCGGTGATATATGAAGCTTATCCCAAATGGTAAGATGGGATTTTGGGTGCTTACAAAGCTTGCTCAGCAGTCCAGTTCTATTTGTAAATGTAAACAAATACATCACTCAATCTTTGCTTCAGGGGGTCCTTTGAAATTCTTAAGTGCAAAAGGGGGGTCGCGGACCAAAAACTTTGAGAAACACTGCTGTAAAGTATAGTCTACTACTCATGTAAACTGTATGTAGCACATTGATAAATATTTATATATCTATATATATTTATTGTATATTTATAAACAACTTCACTTGAATAAACATCCTTAGTTGAATTTCAAAATCAACTAAGGAATAATAAGTGAAAATTAAAATCAAATAAATGTTAATTGAGTGAAGCTCATTCCTTTATTTAAATCTAATGACATTTGAGTGTAAACTCCTCTGAAACTGCTTGACTGATCTCAACCAAATTTGGTATGGACATAGCGTCCATGTCAACGAATGTCATTAGCTATTTGGAATCCTGATAAGAGAAACTGCCATAGACATAAGATGGGATTTTGGGTGCTTACAAAGCTTGCTCAGCAGTCCAGTTCTATTTGTAAATGTAAACAAATACATCACTCAATCTTTGCTTGCCATTCCTTGAGTTTTAAATAATTCAACATAACAATTAAGTTCAATTCAAACACAAATTGTTTATCGTATTTATACAGACACTTGGCAAATCACAGGCTTAACTGGGGAGAAAAAAAGGGGGAGGAAAGGTCAGCGAAATACATTTGTTTGAAAGACTAGTATGTAAATTTTAATTGTAAATCAATTTAAACATGATTTTAAGTGTATGGAAGAAATTTTAATATTGTTTAAACTCATCAAAAAGGTATGTTTTTAAGATAACATGACCTTATATATTTGTTTGTTTAAACTGTTGTAACTTGTGAATTTTTATTTTAGTTGGCTGAAGAGGGGCAAGAAATGCCCGAAACGTGTATAAACGAAAGAAACACGTATCAACTGAATAAAATTTAATTCTATGATTTGCCAAGTGTCTGTATAAATACGATAAATAATTTGTGTTTGAATTGAAATGTGACAATTAAGTCTAAACTCCAACTTAAATGTTTTATATTCCTTTGTATACAGTTAAACCTCAGATTTCAAACACCTCACTTTATGAACATTTCAAAAGCCACATTTGTCCCAGTTGCTGTACAATAACTCTGTTGCCAAACAAGCTACTCGGCAAGAGCTGACCACAAATTAGAGAAAGACAGACTGTCAACTCCATATACTCCCTGTGTCAAAGAAAGTCAGTGGGTCCAACCAATCAACGACAGGATTACTGATTCAGAAATTAGTGGCACTGAGATCGCCTCATGTCATGATATGGAAGCTCAGTTTAACTATATACGAATATATATGAATTTGGACCGAAAGTCATGTTAATTCAATTCAAAATTTTCCCCAGAACGGTGTTAGATAGATAATTGGCATGATTCTATTGGTAACAAGAAAAGTATGATGTAGAGAACCACTAAAAGAATTGAGAATGTTGCGATGAAAAGTTGCAGCCCGGCATTGTGACGATGTCACAATAGACAATTGTTCATTAGAACTAGTTTGGTTTATTTGGTTACAGCAATGCGACACATGAGCGATCTGTCGAGAGGATGCATTCCAGGAAGACTTTTATAGGAAGCTGGACCCTATTTTGGTGTTACTAACATGAAGAAAACCCAGAAAACTCTTATGTGGCCAGCCCATTGGCCATGCCCAAACCCATGACTAACTACCAGTGTTTGGTGATCTTATCCACTCTGCTACTTGAGGGCACTTTTTAGAATTCAGAAACGAAAAAACCTGAGTTGTTAGATGTGGAAAATTAAATACTTATAGACTTACTATAAACTTTCCACAGGGTAACACTTGATTCCATGCAGGTAAGTGCTGTATCATTGTCACAATAATTAAGTGAATATAATATATATTTTTTAAAATTATATCCTTTTTTGTAAGAATTAAATTTAGTGTATTATTTCCTTAAATTTTTTGCCAATAGATGGCTCTACATGTAAATCAGCAAACCAAATGTAGATTGAAATTAACTGATTTACAGAAATCCAATAGATATTTTGGAGTGGAATGTACAACATTAACTAAGTTAGGGATATATAAATGTAACTGTCGAGTTTCATAACAGTTGGTCGAATGGCCTAGGAATGTATAGCAAACAAACAAACAAATATCCTCATTTATATATAGATAATATTAATATTTAATTTAATACTAGGTAGCCAATTAATTAAAATTAAAAAAATAAAATAATAATAAAAGCTCTGGCTTTACACCAAAACTGAAACTAAAATTTAAATCAAAGCAATTGAAACATAATATTTCGGAAAGTGTGGGTAAAGTACTTATTAGAGAGGTTGAGGCGCACGTTTTAAACGTGTACGTGTGACGTTCGGCGCCGCTTTCCCATAAGCCTAAAAGTTTGACAATGGTGTTTGGATAGTCGGTGGAATCACGCTCGACATTCCAAACACCATCGTCAAACTTTTAGGCTTACGGGAAAGCGGCGCCGAACGTCACACGTACACGTTTACACGTTTAAAACGTGCGCCTCAACCTCTCTATTGTCTATCTTGATTGATTTGGTTATATTTCATCCAGGCAGAGTCAAGTCTCTATAGCACTTATTTGTAAAGTGATGGTTTGAATTTCAATTTACAGTGACAGAACATACTAGGTAGCCTAACAGTTCAATTAATGTTAACTCGCTTATAATTAAAACTTAAAAACAATTTTTAAAAGCAGGCAAATTTATAAAACAAAAATTAATGAAATTACTAAAACACAAAATAAATCTAAATTTGATTATTTATTGTGCAAAACAACACTAAAACAATTTCTATAGCCATGTCGCAAACATGGGCGTAGCCAGAGTTTTGTTGTGGGGGGGACCCAGTAGAGTCCAACCTAACACAAAATTGAATTATTTCAAATTATTCATAACATTGGGCACAGTGGACCTTTTTTTTTTTTTATTAGTATTCAAAATTTTTAGCTTTAAGTTTTTTGTTGTTTCCAAATCGGCTTAACACTTTTTCGGCTGTGATTTTCTGAAGGGGGCACCAGGTTCACTGGGGAGGGCCGTGCCCACCCAGGCTCCTCCCTCGCTACGCCCATGGTCGCAAAAGGAAAAAAAAAGCTGCAATTAATTTAAAAAATTGTAATTAAGGGTTTAGTTAATTTTGCCGGCAAAATTAAATAAATAATTACTAAAAATAATTATAAAAATAAAACTAAATAAATTAAACGAAAAATTAATTAAAACTAAAAATAATAAAATTAAAATGCTGGTCATTACACCAAAATCAAAACCAAAACCAAAATTAAAATCAGAACTAATTAAAATATAAAAGTTGTTCTATTTTAAAATTTACAGTATTTGTGTGCATTTTTGCTTTTAATGTGTATATGTTACTGTGAAAGACCGAAATTAGAGAATGTCGATATTCTCTGGTGAATGTCGACACATATAAAACACATTGGTGAATATTTGGATATATTAATATATATTCAAACAATCGCCAGTGTATGTCGACAAGCACAGATAAGCTTTGGTGGAGGTTGAAACGACATCCGAGAAGCCAATGTGGACAGAGAGGCGACAGTTTGTCGCCAAATTCTTCGCTATTTCCTTCTGCTCAAATTGGTGATACCGTTCGAATCCAAGAAATGTACAGCCACAGTCCACGATGTCGACCGTGGCTGTACAGATGCCCGAAATGTGTTGCTAGTTGTTGTTGAAATAGAAGACTCCGACTTTTATAAATTAGCAAACAAAAATGGTACCCTCAAGCAACTTTATACCTGTAATCAGTTCGTAATTTGTAAAAAAAAGTTACTTTCCATAGATGAGATTTCTTCTCAAGAAATATCGCTGAGAGAAACAGCTGCAGCTAATTCTAGAAGTGGAGGGCAAGGCTATACACGCTGTCATTGCAAAAAAGAAGTGTTCCACAAATAAATGCAGCTGTAAAAGCAAGGAACTCTTGTGAATTCAAAGTGTCATAACAGTTTAAGTTGTTGCACTAAATAAGAATGTATAACGTTAATCACATAATTTATGTGTAAGTTTACTATTATGTATTATTTTTCTTTTCTGATTAAAAATGTACTGTTTGTTTTAATTTCAACAGTTCATTTACATGTGCTGTTACTTAAGTTTTCTCCTATTTTGACATATTAAAATGTTGCATTTTTGTCTTAACGTAATAAACATATTTTTGTTGAACATTCACCATTAGTGTATGCTGAATGTTAACATTTGCAAGTGTAAGTGAGAAATAGTGATATTTAGCAAATATTTCGTACATACATGAAACGACTGTGTGAATGCTGACATTCACCGGAGAATGTTGACATTCGCCAGATATCGTTCATTCACAGTAACATATATATTAAAACAAATTAATCCATTTTGTATTGTTTCTTATGTGAAAATTTCTTTTGGTTTTTGAACAAGCTTTAGGAATAAATTAAGTTTGAAAACAAGGTTTGATTGTATTTGTAAACATTGCTGGCTAGCAGCACTGAACAAGCTCAAAAGCTATTACATATGAACTGAATTAAGTGGTTCCAAAGCAAAGTTTCAAAGGAGTAAATGTTTCCAAAATCAGATATTGTTACTTGTATTTTGAAACACATTAAATAAACTAGATTTCAGCATAAATCTTGTTCAAACCAATTATGTTCTGTCATTTATTATATTATCAAATATATCTAATGCAATAAATAAATAATATATACCTAACACATATACGTGTAATTTTAATTAAAGCATCTCTATTTGATGATGTCTAGAGATATATTTAGCAGTCCAAATGCAATCAAATCTGGCTTGGTGGCTTTCAGGCCATGCAAAGACAACTCCATGAAAACAGATTAGTACCCATAACTCACTATAATGTCATTTTTAATGCTATCAGTAACAAACATTTTATAGCACAAGACACTTGTGTAATAAACAGTAGAAACCTAAGTGATGCAGAGAATACTGCTCAATGCAATCCTCATTCTGAAAGTATAAAACCTGAACAGTGAGTTCAACAGCCAATTGTAATTGAATCGTTACGGTGCTTCTCACATGCAGCATGATACTGTCTTCTGAGGCTGTCAAGTTTACAACATGTCCTCAATAAACCATGCATTTTAAAAGTCCCTACACCAAAAGTAATGTGGATTAAGATCTGGAGAATGAAGTGAATAGGTGGTAGGAAATGTATGACTAATCACTCTGTTATTGGTAAAATGTTGCAGAAATTGCCATATACATGGTATTCAATATGTGAGGGCATCTTGCATGAAGTGATTCAAAGTATTATTGCAGTTGCAGTTGGGTATAACAAAAGTGTTAAGCACCTCTTGGTATCAATGGGCTGTCATAGAACATGTCACATGAACAAGTTTCTTTGAAGAAAAATGACTTAAAAATAAACATGGTTATGAATCCCTACCAGACTATTACTTTAGGCGAGTGCAGTGAAATCTGCTGGAAAACACAAGGGTTTTCTGTGAATCAAGTGACAGTTATAAATGTTTCACTAAGGTATATATGCCTTGTCACTCCACAAGATCTTCCATGGTCAAACACACTCATATCCATTCTCATAAAGGAGATCAATGCAAAGGTCAATTGGACTTCCCTATCAGAGTCAAACAATTATAGTTATAGCTGATCTTATAAGGATAACAATACACCAACTTTCTCAGGACATTCTATACCACAGGTTCTCAAACTTATTTCGACCACCGCCCACTTTGAGATAAAAAAAAATCTAGTATAATGTCATGACAGTTCGATGACATGTAATGTCATCGAACGAACTGCCATGACATTACATGTGCACTACTGGAATGTGTAGCATTAGTCATTGAGTATTCAACAACAGCTAGGATAACATCTAAAACAACTTGTGAAGTGATCATTCTCCTGAGAGCTTGTGAAGTTGATGATCTTTGACATAAATTCTTATGACAGCAAAATTCCTGAAATGTAATCATAGCATTGTTGTTGTTTACATAAAATAGCTTTACAAGAAACATGAGTTCAACCAAGGTGATGAGAATGACATACAGCTGGACCACTTTTATACCCAGAACAAGGCTGCAAAACAAGAAACAAGAGCTTTTTCATTGCTTACAGTGCCAAAAATGGTAAGTTTTGGAACTAATGTGTTTTTAAGAAATGTCTTCTAAATAATGTTCTAAAACGTCACCATACAAGGTTTAGTTGTATTAGGATTGCTAAATATCTCCTTAATCATTGAATATGGGTTCTTTACAATCACCTGGTATATATATATATGTTAGGCTCAAAAACCGAAAATGCTCACCGAGTGAAAAAAAAACGACCACAATACGTTTTGGCTAATTCAAAACAACAACAAAGAGAAATTCGCATTGTGGCTTTCATGATATTTGACCACCATGCGTTGTGGTGATTAAGAAAAGCCATAATGCATTTCTGAATGTTAGCTGATGCAACCACGATATGATGGACAGGTTGAAATTGGTTTGAATGTTTTAGTTAGGGTGCCTGATATTGATCGGGGATGTGCGTGCAGCTCCCAGAAATGTTTTAGCTGTTATGAGCATTAATCTACCAGGTCTCTCAGTTAGGAAACAAAAAAGGTTTTCCTGATCAACTTTATGCTTGTAATGAATTTACAATTTCTGACAGTTACTTCATTAACATTCAGGACGTACCCTGAACTTCATTAACACTTCGCTCAGCATCCATGTTAACATCTGGAAGTAAGCAAGGGTTTATAATGTGTCACTGTAAAAGATACTGTATTGATAAAAAACGCAAATGTCACAGAACATAAAATGCAACTCAAAATATCATGGTAATAATTCTTGTAAAAATAAATCACTCTGCAACATTCTTGATTCTCATAAAAAAGACTGATTTAATAAAAGTTCCTGACAAAGTAATTATTTTTAGTAAATTAATTGTTTGAAAATGTTGACATCTCAGGCACCGCAATAGATTTTCATGAATGATTAAATGTTGTCGAAAAGTAACCAAGTTACATTTCTGTATGTGGTGAATAATTTTCTTACCTGCTTATATAAGATAATTGAAGATATATAAGTCATAATGAAAAAGAAAGTTTTATTTTCTTATCACCACCTCGTTATTAGTTAACATCCAGAACTTGTGGTGGCTTTTAACCATAATAAATCCGTCACACAGTGGTTTTTAACTTTAGCAGCTGATTTTTATGTCATCATATAGAGTACATTGAGCACCTACTAGTACATGTAGTTGACCTTTAGCACTTTTAAGCAAAAACAAAAAAATCAAATGTGTATTTTTCTCCATACATTTATTTCTTTGAAATTTTTTTAAATATGAAAATTAAATTTATAGGAAAACTTGTAGAATTAAAAATTGTAAACAAAAATGTTTTGAGGCTAGAACTCATATTTTAAAGTTACAAACCACTGTGCGTTGTATCACCCTCTATCATGGTTGCATCAACTAAGTTCAGAACATGTTATGGCTTTTCTTAATCACCACAATGTATAGTGGTCAAATATCATGAAAGCCACGATGCAAATTTCGCTTTGTGGTCATTTTTTTCGCTCAGTGAGCATTTTCAGTCTTTGAGCCTAACATATACATACATTAGCTACCTTAAATTAAATTATCTATCATTAGATAAATTGTTAATAAATGAGAAATGCATACCGAATGATAGACAGAGATAGGAAATGTAGAATAGCATGTATATGTTTAACATCAATTAACTTCTTAACCAATTCTTCAATGATACACTGGTCTTGCCTAAATAAAATGCAATGATAAGTCAAATACATTCAATGTATACGGCAATAGAAAAAACTTGCTATAACTTACCATGGGGAAACAAAAATAGATAATAATTCCAACAACTTGTTTATATAAATTTCATTCATTTTATTGCTTCTTAAATTCCTGTTTATAATATCTATTACCTTTGGAACAGGGATCAAAGTTTTATTATTTGGTTGCAATTCTGAAAATATTCTAAATACTTCAACAGTAGAATCAATCAACTTTCTTGATCTATCAAGCTTTAGTGATATAGAAGAATCTTGCAGATAATTAAATAATTCTAACAAAGTATCTTCAAAAATCTTTAGAAAATTATCTTTGTTAATAGCATTACATTTGGAAGCATTTAGAAGTGTAGATAGTTGTATTGCTATTAAATTAGCAGCAGTTCTTTGCACATATAAACTATCTTCACCTAAACAGCACATACCAAAATCTATAGCACCTAAATTAAATTAAAGTACAATCCTTTTTAATTCATCTTAATTATTTGTATTAATGTTTAATTTAAGCAATTAAAGCTTACCATTACTATGAAGCCATAGAATATATTGTTCTTTTGCTGCTAATATGCTGAGAAATTCCAATACCGACACTTTTACCGAAAAATTCATCACTTGATAATTTTTTTCTTCAAATATATTACTTATCAGACACAGGAGTTTCTTTTCATTCCTTTCTAATGATGATAGAATATCATTATGATTATGACACACAGCCAACAGTTTTAACAAGAAGGAAACTGTTGTGCAGTTTATATCAGATAGTTCTCTGTTTAAAGCTTTCTCTAGATATTTTTCTAGTTCTGTCCTTCTAAGCATTTCAGTAACAAAATTTCCTGCAAAAATAATATAAACTAATATTAATATGATTCAGATTTCAATGGCACTCCACTTACAATCATCTTGTTTTAATAATAATAAATCTTATCAAATAAATTATGCTTCCATTACATAAATTTTGGTAAAATTGAAATTCTGAATGAAGCTGTATATCATACTTATAGGAGTAAAAGAAATCAAAGAAACTGATGGTCTACATGTAATCCTTCAAAAGATATAGCTCCTAAAAACTGGCCTATCTGGAATTTTGAAGACCCTCAACAATGGGATAAAATTTAAAAATGAAAAAATCTGGAACTATTTCTCAAAACAATGCTAAAAATCAATTTTTGCACTTTATTAGAGATGGCTAAGAACTGATAAAACATGAGAAATGCCATTACACTGACTACTTTTGGGGTATAGCAGTGTACTATAGTATGTATACTATATACTACACTGCTATATCTCATTAAAGATTACATGTAGATCATTGATTCCTCCTTAGACTATTGACTCATATGCCTTACTCCTATAGGCATGATCTACTGTTTTGATAAGGTTCCAACTTCCTCATTCAGAACTGCAATTTTGCCTAAATTTACATTATGATAATCCAAACTTTTGCATTTTTTGTACTCAGAGTAATACATTATATTTCAAATAGGCAACTTATCTCTTTTAATAGAATTACAATTTACTTGTGATCAAAGCAATCCATGTCTTTTGTCACAAATAGTAGTAGCTTGCTTCAATCATAAACAAAGTTTTATTCCTTTAATGTCAAGAATTCTCTATGAATCTTTCCTCATTTATCTAAGAGATAAGTTAACTATTTGTATATATTCATATATAGAACTGTTTAGATCAACTGTAGGATGAATGAATTGGAACATGTTGAATTCATAATTCAAAATACCAGTTACACTATTCATTTATTTCTTACAATCAGGCAATGTCTCTTTAACTTCATACACTATACAGTGTGACCTTAAAATAATTGTGCATGCTAGAAGTTATCTGTATTCTATCTTCCATTTCTTTATATTTCTCTAGACACCAACATTATATTGACTGTTAAAGTCATTAAAATGATCCTATAGCTTCAGTTAAGTCTTAAATTACTAGGTAGCATTAAGAAATTTTCTTCCATAATATCCCTGCATTTTTTTATGCAGCGAGAGCATAGCAAAATGACGTCATGAGCAGTGTTGGCCAATTAGAAACCAGTTTCAGTCTGTTCGCTATAAAGTGCTTCTCGAGCACTGCATAAAGAAACGCAGGGTATCACAGAGTGAATTGTTACACATTATTAAGTTGTGATTTTGAGAAGACTGCAGTATATAAAATCTATCGATTGGAAGTCAATTTTATATACTGAAAGTCATCTGCCAAACTTGTCCATTAAGATATTTTTCAAAGATTCAATGCTCAAATCTTATACACAAAGGTCTTGTAGCCATTCTGCAGATTTATTATTATATCCCATCTTAATATTGGAGTTTTATATAATTAAAACTTAATCATTTTGAGATTATATTATTGAACAGATAATGCTCATTTTATTTGTATTAAATTAAACTTTAATATGAGAAATATTTAGATGTAAGATGAAACGTGTCCAGAAACAAAAATATAAGTTTTAATTTAAGTGAAAGACTTGTTCATGAAGATAACAAAAGAATAACAATGGAAAGCATGGTAAAATTGCAGTTCTGAATGAAGGGTTTAGATTGGTTTTTGATTTCGGGGAGAGATATATTTTAAAAAGGATCACATGTACACAATCGGTTCCTTTAGCATTTTACTCGTACGGGCGTTGTCTACAGCGCTGATAAATCCCAACCGCCTCATTCAGAGCCGAATTTGTACCCTTTGGAGTGAAGAAATGATCTTTGAATTTTGTTTAAATGTGTTGAGTTTTGATTAACCAATAAAGTAATTCTACCAGATTTTTCATTTTCTTCTTTGACAAAAGTAATTAACTTCTCCAATAACGAATCGTCAATATCATCTTTTAATTTTCCAAAAGAAATCAACTTAAAAACGTGATTAAGTTTATTAAAGATCGTTTCCGACTTCGTATCATCCATTAAAATGAACTAGCTAAATACAGTAACTATTAAAATAGAATAACAACTAGTTATACAAATCCTAACGTGACACTTTAAACAATTACGGAGGTCGCCATTTTGGTTTAACCTCGTTCACACATACTTAAATATTTGGGGTTTGTTTGTTTTGGGTTTTTTTTGTAAATTTTATTCAGTTTTCTAATCGTTAAAATATTTAACAATTAGAATTCTTACGTGTTTAAAAAATTTTAAAAATTAATTCCATTTTATATAAAATATATATGCAAAATATATGTTTTTATTCAAGTGTCTAGGTAGAGGGAGCTTTACTGCTTCTTTACACTCAAGGTCTATACTGTATAAACACAGACTACAATAAAAACAGCATGCTCGTCGGAGAAAAAGCCGATTCACGGCCAGAATCTCCACATAAACCCCGAAAGAAAAAAAAAAAAAAAAAACAGCATAGAAGAGTTATGTCCAAAGGAAAATATTTTCTCCCGCTAGATGGAGTTACACAACAGACCATAACAATACACACTGATTTAAGTTATCCTAGCTACATGCTGTCGTATGCTCGTAAAACAAAACAGTAATTCAAACTTAGGATATAGCAAATTATTAACTTTTTTAATTAAGAATTTTCCCGGATTTCTGTAGAAAAGTCTGAAACAATAGACATACTGTATTATCAATAATTATCTAGACGGTTAAATGCAATAATAATTAATAGGGTAGATGTACTGTACTTGTTGTGGCCATACTAAAACAATTTTCAACTTTAAAAATATTTTTATATTCTTACAATTTTTTAAAGCAATGAAACAGTAAAAATAATGAAAAAACATTTTTCGCTAGAGTTAGTACATCATTTTTGGCCACCCCTGTGCCCATCATAAAATATTTTGATTCACTTGTGGCCATGACTGTTTTTAAATATAATAAACTAAATAACCTTTAAAAAATTCTCACACTTCCTAAAGCTTCCTACGTTAGCATAAAACAACTGAATTATATATTTACTGTATTAAGGCGTCAGAACCTAAAATGAAAGGCTTGATGTCTGGTCATTTTTAAAGATGTGAATGCTATTGTTACTTGTTTTTTATGAAGTGATTTCTTCAATACCAATGTAAAAGGTGTACTTCTATGGTGCGTGAAAAGAATTAATTGATAGACTCAAAAATTAAATAATTTTTTTGTAAATAGTCTGAACTTCTAATTTATAAAAGCAATTATTTATTGTGACATTGTCACAATGTTGGGCTGCAATTTCTAATCATATTTTTAACTTAAAATATATCCTCTCCATCTCAAATTAGTGGCTTGCCCCTATACATACATCACACTTTTCCTTTAACAATACAGTTGTGCCAGTCATATCTCCAACACCTTCCAGGGGAAGCTTTTAGTTGAAATAACGCTCTTGAGTAGTTAATTACCTATACGGAAGCCTTCTGCCCTAAGGCTTCCGTATAGCGTCCCGGATTTCATCTATCTATCAGGTCAGTCCATAAGTTCGTGCGTGTTTTATGACCGTGAGAAAAATCTTGTTTTGCTGTTAAAAATGCCAGTCTAATGTGATACTTTTTACACTGAAGTGTTAAATTGGATCTCATTCATATAATACTGTTCAGAATTGGGAACATTTCAGTTGTTTATTTTTGTTAAAATGGAAGTAACAGATGAATATAAGAGACATGTTTTATACTTTTTATTTTTAAGTGATGAGAATGCTACAAATGCAGCCAAAAATTAAATACTGTTCATAATCAAACTGTAATTAGTGTAAGGACTGGGCAGAAGTGGTTTGAAAGATTTAGAAGTAATGATTTTAGTGTGGAGGATAAGGCTCGTACTGGAAGACCTGTTGACTTTGATGATGATGCTCTCTCTGCACTAGTTGAAGCAAAACCATCTTTAACAGTTGATGAAATTGCGGAACGTTTAAATTCATCCCATGGAACTGTTCATAGACATCTACAAGAAATCGGAAAAGTTTCAAAGCTAGGAAAATGGATACCACATGAACTGTCAATAGCTAACTGACAACAACGTCAACTGCTCAACTCAAAAGCTTCAACTGGTAAATTTTACCTCATCCACCATATTTGCCAAATATTGCTCCCAGCGATTATCATCTTTTTCGGTGTTTGCAGAATTTCTTAAAAGGAAAAACTTTTGAGGATGAGAACAATGTAAAAAAGGCTATTTCTGAATACAGTAGAACCTCGATTATCCGGACTAATTGGGGATAAAGGTAGTCCGGATAAGGAAAAATCCGGATAATCGAAAAAAATACTTTGTCTTTTAATAATAATACAATACGTTTTCTTTTCGATGACATATCGGTAATATTAAAAATAAATACTGTATTTAAATCGTGATCAAATTTTAAAGAAAAAAACGTTCGTATTGAATTTGGACTACTACTTACCAACGCTAACATTGTTTAAAAGGCCCTCTGGTGGCGCAATAAGACGGATTTTATAAAATAAAAAGCAGTTGAAACTGCATTTTTATGAATAAAAATTTGACAAACTATTTTTCGTTTTATGACGAGTAAAATTTTTTCGTCGCGTTCGCGGCTTTTAAGTAATGCATTAACCTTCGAAGCGCGAGGCCCTTCGGACCGCGAGGCATAGGCGGTGGCCCACGTTGTCTATGCTTATGCAGCCCTTGGTCATAGAAATGATGTAATTTGAATATAAAATTATTTATAAATACGTATGTCAAGTAGTGCTGTGCGATGTCTATAATTTTAACATCGATGTCAAACATCGATGTTTGCCTAAGCATCGATGCCAAATTTCGATGTCGGATTTCACATCGATGTTTGATCGATGCCCATTGGAACATCGATGTTCAATCAAGATAAACTCAAACAGTTTAAAAAAAACAAAACTTAATTTTATTTTCAACTTGTATAGTTCAATTACAGTTCCAATGCATACAGTTCTTCAATTGATAATGAATTTAAAACTAGAAGTTTATGTACACTCTTTGGCTTTAAAGAACTCCGCTTTTTGTTGATAGTATTTCCAGCTTTGGAAAATAATCTTTCTGCTGGAACTGAAGTGGCAGGAATGCAAAGCCACTTCATGGCAAGTTCACATAAATTATAGTTAAAAAATTTCATGGATTTCCACACATCCAAAGCATTACTATTGTGAGGCACAATAGGGTCATCTAAAAAAGTATTAAAATTTGAATTTAAAGTTGCATTTGTGTTAACATTTCTATCTTAATATCAATTTTTCTGGATGACCAAAGGTCATCATCTTCAAGTTTATTTTCTGCATTATTGTGGAAACTTATTTGAGCCTCAGCAGAGGGAAATTTACAAAGTTCTGCATTTACACATTTAATTGCATTTGCACAACATGCTGGACTTTTAAAATCTAGCTTTTTGAACCTTGGGTCTAGTAATGTGGAAACACTATATACTAACTTCGTCTCAGTGGATTTAAAACGGAAATCAAGATTACTAAAACATTTTTCCAGCAACTTCTTTCCCACATTTGTTTCTGTAGAAACCTTGCAAACTGTATTAAACATTAACCCTAAAAATGGGATAATTTTACTGATGGTAGTGTGAGTTTCTGCTGAAATTTCATTAGTTACTTTATAAAAAGGTTTTAGTACTTTAAGCGCATCATTCAAAGCACTTAATTCTCTACCAGAGAGCATGTCGGGTGCCCCTGGAAACTTTTGCAATGTTAGTGTAACAAAATTTTTTAGTAGTACAAATCTCTCAATCATCAAGAAATACGAATTCCATCGAGTCTCAACATGCTGAATTAATTTTAATGCCACAGAACCTTTTTCATTCTGCGATGAGTCGGCGTAAACAGACTAACCTGGCAGAGTTGAGGGTGAGTTTCAATGAGTGTGAGTTCGTTCACTGTTAAAATAGTGTAAATTTGTAAACATATTTGCAAGAACTTTGTTTCATCGCAATTTCTACTAAATTCCCGGACTGTCCGGGTGAAAACCGAACAGGTGGTAACACTAGGAACAAAGAATGAACTGCATGCATCGATGAATCAAAATTCACATCGATTCAGGATCGATGTTTCAAAAACATCGTAAGGTCGATGCATCGACGAACAAAAACATCGATGTATCGATGTCACATCGATGCATCGCACAGCACTAATGTCAAGTTATATTTTTATCATGACGCAAAATATATTTAAGAGTTTACGACCACTGTTCCGGGTAAGACGTTGCTGAAACAAAAAAAGTTATGCCTTCCATCATGTACATAAACAGTATCGTAATTCGCCAAGTGTAAATCAGCAAATTCGTAAAATTTTTGTTTATTTTGAACAATCCGGATAATGGAGGTCAGGATAATGGAGGCTCTACTGTATTTTGATTCAAAACCGAAATCATTTTACAAAGACGGGATTAAAAAGCTACCATCAAGATGGCAAGAAATTGTACAAAATAATGGTGAATACATTACAGATTGAAATAAGATTTAATTAAAATTTTTTGTTGCTTTTTTTGTAGATAAAAATGCGCACGAACTTATGGACTGACATGATAATTCCATTCTCGAAATTAAGGAAAGACATATCAACGAAAGTGAGGATTTAAAAGTCTATAAATTGCAGTCCAAACATCTTAATATGTAAATCTTATTATTTTTCATAACTTGAAAGAATCATAAAAGTAAAAAAAATTCAAATAAGCTAATGACAGTGGCATGTTATAGCTTCACGAATCCCATTTGAATTTGAATTAGGGAAGTCCCACGGACGCTGTTAATTTCAGATATTTTTCTTTGGGAGAAATTTTTTAGAGAAAATATTTTCTTATAAAAGATTGGTTTGGGGCTCCAGGCAATTGCATTTTTTGTCCATAGGATAACACGCTACTAGTTAACAAAAGTACTTTTGTATATTTTATTGTTAGATATACTGTTTTGTGTATAACATTACTATTGCAAATTTAATTTTGTTCATATTATACAATATGAACAAAAGCATATTGCATAGAATGAATGCGTAAGGACTTAAAACATACATTAATACAAAAAAAGACAACTTTTACATTCAAAATTAATTTAATTATAATGAAAATTTTAATTTCAAAGTTACTTTAA